ATATATATATATATATATATATATATACATTTTAATTAAAACGGTACAAACACCATACATAGGTTAGGTTACCATGTCGCCCTCCTCCTGGTATATAGGCCGCTGACAAGAGCTTTCCAGGCATCTCTGTCCTTTGGTAAAGAAAGTGTCTTGCTTTGGTTTCGTGTCATACTAGGCATTAGTAAAAGTAATTAAAAATTCCTCTTTACACCTAACGATCTATTGTGCAGAGGAAGTAGAGTTCGTATGTTTCTTGGCCTCGGCATATGAACTGATAATGTGGTCAGCACTATGCCCAGCCACCTTTACCTTCCCCAACTTGAGTTGGATACCCATCAGAGCTGGGTGGACTCAGGGAAGCTCCACTGACTAAAACCCAAATTTGAATTCGAGATTTCGCTCTACCGCTCGGCCACGCCGTCGCACTGGGGATTAGTTCAAACAATTAACTCTGGATAAAGAGAATCGATGTATTTGTTTATTTATATTTTATTGGGTGGGGGGGGGGTATGGATAAGGAGGGGTAGTTTGAGTTGAAGGAGTCAACGGCTAGTTTAGATCACAGAGATTATCCCAACTACGCTACGGTCTAACAGCACCCCCTAGCTTTAAGTGTGTTTATATTCTTCTGAAAATATTTCACGCATGTCGATTCCCTAACGCTGATGTTATTACACATTCTAACTCGAACACTAAGCAATTATCTCAAGACAAGAATTAAACAAAGCCTTAATCCCTTGTCCTAATACTCTGATTAAGACCAAACATCAGAATGTAATGTTTGAATTAATGGATTTTGTCTTCGTGTTATATTTACCGTCTTGTATCGTATCCACAGTTATAAGACGAGATTTACATTGGCCTAAAAGTTGATTTATTTACATGTTTTATTTAATTTAAACTAAAACCTAAATCCTCACTACATTACATACCTTCAGAAAAAAATTTGACCCAAATGTCAGACATTCCCCCCCCCCCCCCACACAACTCACCATTCCTCCTTTCAATCCCTGTCCTTGTTTACATATTTGTTTATATTACCCCTAGCTGTGCTCAGATTAACACGCTTACCGCAGCACACAATTTTTTTTAGTGTCTTCTAATTACTGGGTTATCGCCCGTAGCTTAAAGATTTATTTTTGTTTGGTCAACACAGCTGTCTCGCAAGCGAGGTTACCGTGACCTCATTAGGTTACGTCTAATACAACACTGGTTCATTTCTGCCACGGTGTTGATGGCCCGGGGTATTAGGTATCACACGAGATAGGACTAGCTCTGATGAGATAACCCTAGCACTATTTCGTAGTCGTAACTCTATTACCGCTGAACTGAATGTGTGCGAACGTCAAAGAGACTGGTAGTACTGAAAATAAAATTAAAAAAAACACTGACTGACATGTTTCTTCTAAGGTTGTAGGGTGGAGTTGGGGAGAGGGGTGGGGGTCGTCCCAGAGGCTTAGCTAGGAAGGGGGGGGGGAGGCGCCGTCCCCGGCGCCGACCCCAAGGGGAACGCCCAATGAGGTAAATATTTAAAAAGAATATAAAGTAAATTATGAGCTGGTTTTATTTTTCTGAGAAATATACACAGTCGATGTTAAAAAAAAAGTAGAGTGCTACTTGGTGTTACAGAATTATTTAACTGTTTGGTACATCAGCTATGCGAAACCAAATTGAAAATTGTTTCGAACCTGTGACTGGTAAACGTCCGGAACTTTCTAAATGCTGAGAGAGGGGGAGAGGGGCGCTTTTCCACCAACGTAAATATGTATATATAAATGGAAGAGGGGGGCTCAAAATTGATAGTTTCCTCCGGGATGGTTCGCAACGCCTCTGGGTCGTCCGTTGATAATGTTACACATTTTAGACAATTTTTACACCCCCCCTCCCCCACGCCCTTATCATAAAAACATTCATATTTCTCCTCTGCAACCCCACCCACTGGGTAAAATAGAAAACGCCAACGAAAATTAAAAGATCGTTCATATCTTATGACCTTAAAAGAACCTAATGAAAAATATTCCGCCACTTTGTCCCGTAGCTAAGTCCCCACCAGAGGCGTAGCGAGGGGGGGGGGGCGGGGGGGGGGGGGGGGGCGGGGGACATATGTCCCCGGGCGCCGACCCTAGGGGGGCGCCAAATTGAGAGTTTGAGGAGGGGGTGCAAATGAAAAGTTCGAAGGGGAGTGCAAATCGAAAGTTTGAGGGGAGGGGGGTGTAAATGAAAAGTTCGAGGGGGGCTGCAAATCGAAAGTTTGTCCCCGGGCGCCGGGAAGGGTCGCTACGCCTCTGGTCCCCACTACCTTTTCCTAATAGAAACTTCTAAATTTGTGTGAGGATAAGTTTAATAAAAATAAATTAAAATTGTATGTTTACAAAAAACAGGCATGCAGGTGCTACGGATTATATAATTTTCTCTAAATAATCTTAAACAACATAAGTTAGGGAAATCTAAGATAACTTCAAAGGTGAAAGTTTTCGGGAAGCGTGGTCTTAAGAAGCAGATGGCTTAACTTCTCAGTGGTTCTTAAACTTTTTGGTGGAACCGAACCCTATCAGTTTCATAAGCGCATTTACCGAATATTTCTATCTAATAATTCTATCGTCAGCACTGACAAAGATCCGATCGTGCATCATATGAATCGGTTGTGTCTACCGAACCCATGAGATTGACTCACCGAACCCCTAGGGTTCGATCGAACTCAGGTTAAGAATCACTGCTCTTACGTGATTTTCCCTTACAATTCTGTCTGTACAATAACATGTCTGAGTTGTCTGTTTTTATTCATAATTTAAAAAAAAATAATTTACTGAAATTTATATTGTTCCTTTATTGTAACGTCTTCTTTTGGTTCAACAATCTATTAATTTTCCTTTTTTCTCTACTTTTTTTCTGTTTGGCGTGCCAAGCTGATTTTTAAAATGTAAAATATTCGATCTTTACGTATTAATATGCTACATTGGCATTTAAAAAAACAATAGCGTACAGAATTTTTAAAAAAAATCCTTTCTATGTTTGATTGTCGTAATTTTATTTATTTAATAGCTTGATTACTCACCTTTTTTTATGTTTACCTTTTCAATTTTCTTTTTTCAAGTTGTCTCTAGTTTTTTTTTTTTCCCAGCTATTAACGTGTATTTATTTCTATTGTACAATAATTTTCTGACTTTCTCAGGCTTGTTTTATATGGCAGCCTATAAGTGAACTATTTGTTATATTTACAACGAGCCGACCCGCGGCATATCATACGCCTCTATTTAGTTGTTGTTTTTTCTACTTTTCAGTAATTCAGAATTTGTGAATTCGACAGTACCAATGCTGCCACTGAAAATATTTGCTTTAAAACACTAATTCCCCCCCCCCCCCCCCCGTGAAAGCAGCCTCCTCTTAGATACCTCCTCTAAGTTTAAAATAGTTTCAAACTAAATTATCTACCCCTAATAGCCGTCACCAAACCCGGCTCTACGATTTTTAAACATTTTTAGCGTGAACCACAGCTCACCAGACCATGTGAGATGGGGGTGAGGGGGTGGGGTGAGGGAGGGTGAGGGGGGGGGGGGTGGTAGCTTGTTTTCTAACGTCTCCCAGTAGAGAATTATATATATAGATTTAAAAACAAAACGCATAACGTATGTGGATATATCTCTGGCTATTGTAAAATTTCGGTTGAAAAATACGACACGGCCTATTGAAAGGGAATCTGAACATAAGCAGCATCGATGCCAGTATTTATACAGGGTACGGTGTACCAGTGGCGTAGCGAGGGGGGGGGGGGGGTGCGGACCGCACCGGGTGACACCATTTAGGGGGGGGGGAGGTGACACCAAGGCAAAAAATAGCAAAATATATAGAGAAAAATGATAATTCCACTTAATTAAGTGATTAATTCGAGTGTTAAATAGTCCTTAAGAGCAAATTTGACAAATCCCGACAATGGTGGAAAGGGGGGGGGGGGGGGGTGCAAATCGGAAATTGAAAGTTTGTCCCCGGGCAAATGATAATAATTTGCTCTGTAATTATGGAGCGATAACAGGTGGTATGTAACCGTCGTAACATGGTATATAACCATAAAATTAGTTATCGAGAAATTAGTTTCATTACTAACTCTCTGTATCCCATCACAGCTAAGCAAATAGGCCAACACTAGATGTAATGAGAAGTCTTCATTTTCAAAAAAAAAATATTTTTTTTACGTTTCCTTAATTACCCTAATTATTTTATTTTCCTCACTAATTACCGTGAAACACGTTCTCGGCCATTGAACCAGAATCTCACGTGATCATCACACCAAGCCTACAGCGAAGCGGGAGTTGGGCTAAAGAAGAATAATTAGCCCAAGCACTCTCAAACCGTTGGCTAATTACGGCAAGGATATTTTGCCGGCGCCGGCAAAGTTCTCCCCTTTGAAAGATTAATTTACTCCTTTCATAACGACGGAACGATTTTTCTTTGCCAAGCATTGAATTACGTGCTGTGTTTTGTTTGCTATTGTCATAAAAAATGGTTTAGCTCTTTTGAAATGGATCATTCGTTTCAAAGACACTCTGTAAACATGCATATAGTGGGAATATATATATATATATATATATATATATATATATATATATATATATATATATATATATATATATATATGTAACGCACATTTAGACGCGCACAAATGATGGAGAAATAAAATATCCCTAATCCCTGACCATCTTTTGTATAATCTACTAGTGTTAATATCTATACTATACCTACCTTTTATCTTCAGGAAACCTCTAAACTATACCTTTTTATCTTCAGGTAATCTCTAAACTAAACCTTTTATCTTCAGGTAATCTCTAAACTATAGCTTTTATCTTCATGTAATCTCTAAACCCTAGCTTTTATCTTCACGTAATCTCTAAACTATACCTTTTATCTTCATGTAATCTCTAAACTATACCTTTTTATCTTTAGGTAATCTCTAAACTATACCTTTTATAGTGAGGTACTCTCTAAACTATACCTTTTACCTTCAGGTAAATGTCAACGGACTTGTCACGTTCAAATCCGACTTCCCGACCTACCGGCCCGACGTGGCCATACCCCTGGGGGCCCACGCCATCGCCGTCTTCTTGGCCGACGTGGACACTACTACGGGCGGTCGAATTTATTATAGGTGAGTAGAGTCATCAGGTAGACCTTGACAATATATCGTGAACTTGGTTTATTTTTAAATGAGGTTTTTGATATGGCGATAGTTTTCCTGTGAGTTTGAGAGTAAACCCCGTACTGATGCAAAAAAAAAAAGCTCTCTTGACTGTTGTCAGTAAGTATCCGATTTAATTCATATGTAATAAACAATAAACCGGGAGTGATCTCCCCTAAACTTTCTCGAATATTCTTATATAAAAGAACAGGGGAAGGGAACTCGGGCTATAGACATGATTTTTAATCCATTTTAAATACTTAAAGTTTTAAAAATAGAATAAAATCTCGTAGACAAATTAATTGCACACCAAGTGAACGCCAAATCAAAAAAGCGCATAATAGTGCGCAATATTATTAGTACTTTTAAAATTTACATTAGTTTTTTGAGAAATCGGAAGTAGCGTAAATTACTACTTCCTGTCAACGGAAATTACTCAAAATTTAACAGAAGGTAGAGAATTAGATCTTTTACTTACACGTGAAATTTCATTTATCTATCTGAAATAGTACTCAAGTTATAGGCTTTTGAAAAATTCAAAGTAGGAAAAGTACCACTTCCGATTATCATAAATCGCTCAAAAGTTGATACGGATCTACGATTTTGATAAAATACTTATATATGAAATTTGATCAACCTAGCTGTAACGGTACTCAAGTTATCGTGTTTACACACGGACAGACAGACAGACAGACAGACAGACACACAGACACACAGACATACGGACAAGATTGCAAAATTATGTTTTTCCGTATCAGTGAGGTGTAAAACGTCGAGATTTGTAAAAATCTCGATTTTTTTTTTTTGCACGATTACAAGACTTTCTCTATACTTCGTATATACGAGAAAGTAAAAATTTTGCACTTTACTTGTGTATATTAGTAAGTAAGTAAAGTTCCATTTGAAACCTGACCAGTGTTTCTTCCAGAGTTTTTTTCTCCGGGGGTGGGGGGTCGGGGGGTGGTGTAAACTTGACATTTTCGGAGGCGACCTAAAATTTTCGGGGGAGGGGGGGGGGGGGCGGACACAGTTAAAAGTATACATTTTCGATACAAATTCCATTTCGCTCGGAGGGGGGGGGGGGGGGGGATGCCTGGAAGAAGCTCTAAACCTGACGGTCTACGGGGCAAGTTAAGTAGAGATCACTTGTTTCTGTGGCATCGGCATATGAAGAGATAGTTTGGTCAGCACTATGTCCAGCCGCCTTTACTTTCCCTAACGTGAGTTTGGTACCCATCAGAGTTGGGTGGACTCAGGGACGTCCCACCGACTTGAACGGTGATTAGAACTCGAGACTTACAGGTGAGCAGTCCAGCTCTCAACCGCTAGGCCCCTCCGTCCCTTTTTTTTTACCCGTATAAAACAAAAGACAATCAAATACTAGACAACACATAAAATATTGACAAATAAATAAATAAAATAAATAAATAAATGAAATTCGTTTAATTACCCCCCCCCCCCCCCCAGGAAAAGCGATGAACCAGCAATCCTCGATAGGTTGGCAAGCGACATCCGCAGTCACTTCCCAGGATTCAACACCTACAGGCCGACATTGGTCTTAGTAGTCACGTGGGACCGAGTGGGATACTACAATCAACGCGCGGACAAGGTAAGGTCGACTTGTTGTTGAGAAAAAAAATGTTACGGTTTGTTAGTTGTTGAGTTAAACATGTTTAGTTATAACTGTTTAGAATTTTTAAAAATTGTCATCATTCAAAAGAAAAAAAAAACAGAAAAAAGTATTCCGAACATCAAATTATCAGGTGATCTTTTCAAGACTTTCAGGCGGGCAGTCGTGCCCTTCACATTTGACCACACCTTCCAATATTCTCAACGTAGCGTATCGTCAAAAAATTCACCCCCCCCCCCTTCCATTCTGACACGTGCCTTACTTCATTCATAGACACAGTCAAATAGGCAAACATACTATTATAATTTTCAGTATTCAATGATAAAATAAATTGTGTATTTGTATCCTATGTTTCTGTTCTCACCTGTCTCTCTCCCAGGTGTGTATTTGTATCCATGTCTCTGTTCTCACCTGTCTCTCTACCACGTGTGTATTTGTATCCGTGTCTCGGTTCTCACCTGTCCCTCTCCCAGTTGTGTATTTGTATCCATGTCTCTGTTCTCACCTGTCCCTCTCCCAGGTGTGTATTTGTATCCATGTCTCTGTTCTCACCTGTCTCTCTACCTCTCCCATCTGTGTATTTGTATCCATGTCTCTGTTCTCACCTGTCTCTCTACATGTCCCAGGTGTGTATTTGTATCCATGTCTCTGTTCTCACCTGTCTCTCTACCATGTGTGTATTTGTATCCATGTCTCTGTTCTCACCTGTCTCTCTACCTGTCCAGGTGTGTATTTGTATCCATGTCTCTGTTCTCACCTGTCCCTCTCCCAGGTGTGTATTTGTATCCTTGTCTCTGTTCTCACCTGTCTCTCTACATGTCCCAGGTGTGTATTTGTATCCATGTCTCTGTTCTCACCTGTCTCTCTACCATGTGTGTATTTGTATCCATGTCTCTGTTCTCACCTGTCTCTCTACCTGTCCAGGTGTGTATTTGTATCCATGTCTCTGTTCTCACCTGTCCCTCTCCCAGGTGTGTATTTGTATCCATGTCTCTGTTCTCACCTGTCTCTCTACCTGTCCAGGTGTGTTTTTGTATCCATGTCTCTGTTCTCACCTGTCTCTCTCTCTCCCAGGTGTGTATTTGTATCCATGTCTCTGTTCTCACCTGTCTCTCTACCTCTCCCAGGTGTGTTTTTGTATCCATGTCTCTGTTCTCACCTGTCTCTCTCTCCCAGGTGTGTATTTGTATCCATGTCTCTGTTAACACCTGTCTCTCTCCCATGTGTATTTGTTTGTATCCATGTCTCTGTTCTCACCTGTCTCTCTCCCATGTGTGTATTTGTATCCATGTCTCTGTTCTCACCTGTCTCTCTCCCATGTGTGTATTTGTATCCATGTCTCTGTTCTCACCTGTCTCTCTCCCAGGTGTGTATTTGTATCCATGTCTCTGTTCTCACCTGTCTCTCTACCACGTTTGTATTTGTATCCATGTCTCTGTTCTCACCTGTCTCTCTACATGTCCCAGGTGTTTATTTGTATCCTTGTCTCTGTTCTCACCTGTCTCTCTCCCATGTGTGTATTTGTATCCATGTCTCTGTTCTCACCTGTCTCTCTACCATGTGTGTATTTGTATCCATGTCTCTGTTCTCACCTGTCTCTCTCCCAGGTGTGTATTTGTATCCATGTCTCTGTTCTCACCTGTCTCTCTACCACGTTTGTATTTGTATCCATGTCTCTGTTCTCACCTGTCTCTCTACATGTCCCAGTGGTTTATTTGTATCCTTGTCTCTGTTCTCACCTGTCTCTCTCCCATGTGTGTATTTGTATCCATGTCTCTGTTCTCACCTGTCTCTCTACCTGTCCCAGGTGTGTATTTGTATCCATGTCTCTGTTCTCACCTGTCTCTCTACCACGTGTGTTTTTGTATCCATGTCTCTGTTCTCACCTGTCTCTCTACCTCTCCCATCTGTGTATTTGTATCCATGTCTCTGTTCTCACCTGTCTCTCTCCCAGGTGTGTATTTGTATCCATGTCTCTGTTCTCACCTGTCTCTCTACCACGTGTGTATTTGTATCCATGTCTCTGTTCTCACCTGTCTCTCTACATGTCCCAGGTGTGTATTTGTATCCATGTCTCTGTTCTCACCTGTCTCTCTCCCAGGTGTGTATTTGTATCCATGTCTCTGTTCTCACCTGTCTCTCTACATGTCCCAGGTGTGTATTTGTATCCATGTCTCTGTTCTCACCTGTCTCTCTACCTGTTAAGGTGTGTATTTGTATCCATGTCTCTGTTCTCACCTGTCTCTCTACATGTCCCAGGTGTGTATTTGTATCCATGTCTCTGTTCTCACCTGTCTCTCTACCACGTGTGTATTTGTATCCATGTCTCTGTTCTCACCTGTCTCTCTACCTGTTAAGGTGTGTATTTGTATCCATGTCTCTGTTCTCACCTGTCTCTCTCCCATGTGTATTTGTTTGTATCCATGTCTCTGTTCTCACCTGTCTCTCTACATGTCCCAGGTGTGTATTTGTATCCATGTCTCTGTTCTCACCTGTCTCTCTCCCAGGTGTGTATTTGTATCCATGTCTCTGTTCTCACCTGTCTCTCTACCTGTCCCAGGTGTGTATTTGTATCCATGTCTCTGTTCTCACCTGTCTCTCTCCCAGGTGTGTATTTGTATCCATGTCTCTGTTCTCACCTGTCTCTCTACCTGTCAAGGTGTGTAATTTGTATCCATGTCTCTGTTCTCACCTGTCTCTCTACCTGTCCAGGTGAACACGTTCCAGCTCGTTCTTGCCACAGATGGCACCGACTCCTTCTCCTTGTTCCACTACCTGGATTCTGGAATCCAGTGGACCAAGTCGGACGGCAAGTTCAGCAGCGAAATGGAAGATATTCCACCTCAAGCTGGCTTCGAGGGCGGGGTCGGGGGTCACCATCACAAGTTACCCGGATCGGGTGACACTGCGTTATTCATCACGTGGGTAGTATTTAATTTCTTTTTTTGTGTGTATATTTTATAATCTCTAACTGCTAGTCACTAGTATTTTACTAAACGCATTTCATGTTATTTTACGATTTCTTTGAGGTTTCTACAATATGGCTGGTAAGTAGGTCACCAACCAGTTCTACGGCTCAATAAAACCTGCATGAGCTATTAAACTGGTTGGTGACCTACTTACCAGCCCTATTCTAACTGTTTAATAATAAAACAGATTATTTTATATATGTATCTATGTTGGCCTACTTTCTTATGCACATGCTTCTAAATAATTTTTTCAGTGGGTCTAATGTAAATACTCGAGGCGTCTGGATGTATCATATAGGGAACACAGGCAGTGGAAACGTGAGACCCGCTGATAGGGGCACACAAGAAGGTACACACTGGATTCGATTTGGTTACATTTTTTTCAAAAGGAACTAACTCAATAAAATCACACACACACTCACAACACACACACATACAAACAAAAAGCTTTTGAATAATGAAATTGAATATATATATATATATATATATATATATATATATATATATATATATATATATATATATATATATATATATATATGGTATGTGTGTATGTCGGCCTATAAGCCTATAATTTAAATATATGCCGCATACGCTTACAAGTATGTGTATAAGCTTTAATCACTACAGACTTAATAGTAAGGATGTTTTATCTTTAATGTGAATAACACAGATGGATATAGCATTGTTTTCTCTATAGTTAGCGAATTCATGGTGTCACGCCTCTGTATATGATACACAATATAGTATAGTCATATACTATTACTAATATACGCCTATTCCCAGAGTTTCTTCCAGACATCTCTTCGGAGGGGGGTGGAGGCCCCCCGAACGAAATGGAATTTATATAGAAAACATATACTTTTACCAGTGTCCGCCCCCCCCCCCCCCCCCAAGGAAAATGTTGTCCGCCCCCCGAAAATATCAAGTGCCCCCGCCCCCCCCCCCCCCCCCCCCGGAGAAAAAAGTCTGGAAGAAACAGGTTTAGGGGATAATTGAACAGATCGATGGTTGATAAAAGCTTTTGAGTAATGAAATTTCATAAATTATTTAATCTTACCTAAACATTATTAAATTAAATATTATCGATTTCCCTGCCTAATCTACTAACGCTTCCCGAAAAGGTCAGTGTGTTACCATGAATTTTGTATATTGTAATTTGTATATTAAAAAAAATATTTAGATCTCAAACCAAACGTTATTCGAAAGCATTTACAACTTAGATCTAGACCAATTTGGTAATATATTAAATTTCCGTTTCTGTCGTTTTTGTTTTTAATTCGCTTCGATACCTGCTTACAGGGGGAAAATTAATAACTTAGGCCTACTCAGCGAATTTACGTTTAGATGCACTTAGTGCTCTTGTCTGATGGAGTTATCTCAGGTGGATTTAAGTAAGCTGCTGAACAGCTGTTTGCCGCCGACATTATTTAGACTTCAAGAGAGGCTTAAGAATTTAGAAATGGGTTATTTTGTAACCTGTTAAAAAAATATGAAAGCGCAGGCGGTAAAACCTTAGTTTAGCGTCGGAAATTATCGGGTAATGTTTGTTGAGTTTCGGTAACTAGAGTTACGGTAAACCTTGGTTTATTTGACCGTTGAAATATAAATAAATTGAAAGTCGATTGTAGTAAATTCAAATTGTTTTAATTTTTTAAAGTTTAATCAACAAAAGGAAACAAGAATAAATATAATAGTAGATTTAAATTAGTAGATCTAAAAAACAACAAAAAAAAACAACATAGATCTATATTAATATAAATAGGCTAATGAAGTCAAATGTTATAATTAGGCATTCCGACTTCCGCTGTTTCGATTCGGTATTCAACATCCGGACTTTTCGATGCAGTCTTTATAAAAACTCGCCCTTTTCCGAAGAATGCCGAATCTCAATGTTGGAATCGAGTTTTTAGAAATATTCGATATAGATATTCTAGTGTAGTCGTATTATATGTTTCAATTAGAAAATTACCGCCATTATGACAATCTTTAAGCCGAAATCGATCGCACGATTCTAATGAGTTTATCTCGCGAACATGTCCCGTACGGTGCTGTCACATTTTAAATAAGTTTACGTATTAAACCCTTTATAAGTGTCTTGCCATTAGTTGTAAGTATCCATTAAATAAACAAATATTATTATAATAGCGGTTTTATGGCACTTACTACTTCTGCTTACGAGTTATCATACATGTCAAATCCCCGAGCTAGCGCTTCGGCCTTGACAACGCCATGGCGTCGGTTTAGCACCGCATTACCTATTATCGATAAAATACGCGCACTAATGCCAATGACGTAGTTTTCGAAGTTGGAAAGAATTTAAATTGTGGGTGGCACTGTTAAAACTAGATAAAATACGTTGATCAAGTTATCTATTAAAACCGACAGGCAAGAAGCTTAGGCTTACATTAAATAGTGTTAAGCATTTCACACATACCTACTTACTTAATTACTTAGATTTAAGGCTAATACTAATAGCCTTTAATATACTATTATACTTTATACTATAAATAAGTTATAGGCCTATTTCTTAGTATAACTAATGCTATATAGTATATGTATCGATTGATAAAGTAAGTCTGGGCCTATTATTGGTTATGATAAGTAAAGAAGCTTGGTGATAAACTTATTTAATTATTTGTAATAATTATGTTTATGACATTAGTAAATAATTAACAAAAGGTGCAGCAATTGACATGGGGGGGGGTACTAATTAATAAGGCAGTGAATTTAGAATGACATGAAAAAGGCATGATAATTATTATTCATAATAATTTAGGATACAATTTTTACATTTAATAATAAAAGTAACAAAAAACAAATAACAACAAACAATACGGATTTAAATCACTGCATGTTGCCAATATATATATTCATATAAGCAGATAGACAGGGAAGCTGTAACTTCTGATTTGGTACAAATTAACACTTAGCTTAATAAACTTTTACAAGAATTTAAGGTTTTTCTATTGATTAGTAATTTAGTTGTACCAAAATATCAATAGGGTCGTATAAAGGCCCTAGTATATTAAAGTAGTTTCCCTTTTGGACCTGTCAATCCATCATCCATAAAACAGCTGAAGTAGAGTTTATCTGTTTCTTGACCCATGCACATGAAGTGATGGTGTGGTTAGCTCTCTGCCAAGCTATCTTTACTTTCCCTTGGGTCAGGTACTCATCTGAGCTTGGTGGATGCTGCACGCTGCACAGACAGACTCGTCTGAGATCTGAGCTTAAGACTTGCATGTTAGTAGTTGAGTGCTTTAGCACACCATCCCTAGTTTTATTTTTCAGCATTCTTCTTATTACATGCTTCAGTATCAATAACCAAAATGTATCCTATTATAGTAACATTCTGGACATACGTCCGTTGCAGTCACTATAATTACTATAAAAGGGTGCAACACCCTTTCATGGACTTTTTAATTATATGCAGTCATACTTAATATAATTTTTTTCTATATTTCTATTGCCCCCACCCTCTAGCAAAGTTTCAATTTTAATATTAAAAAAAAACATAGACTTTCAGTCTGCATATTGACCTATATAGAACAGCACCCCTCACTTTAATTTGACTTGATTAGTTCTAATTATCCTTCATCAAATTTTGATTTTACTTTCATATTTCTATTGCCCACACTCTCTAGCACTAATGTGCAAAGTTTTATAATTATATCTCGAATAGCAGCAGTGGTATGCAAGCCTAAAGCCAATCACACAATTAAATCCGATGTTACAGTGATATATAACAGGTTTAATACATAACTTTAAAAATTCATATAAAAAAAACTATTAGGCCTAGAATGATAAATTTGGTATTTTTATCAATGGGATGTATTATAGGATTAATCTGTGTACATTTTATCATTCTATGGTAATTAGGAAAAATATCCCAACATTCCTAGTTATAATTTAATGTTTTTGGCTTGCAGCGGATTTGCGACCATTAGATCTAGATCTATATCTAGCTAGATATCTAGCTGCTAGGCCAAGTAAAAAAATCTAGATTACGAAAATAGTAAAAATGATTGCAAAATGTAAAAATGATTACAAAAATAAATCTATCCAAATTTTAAACATTCTGTATAAAAATAAAAGATGACGCCAAATAAAGTATGGTTTACAGTACTTCCGGTGAATTCCGGAAGTGTGTGACAGACTTTGGCATTGTTTTACTGTTTTTTACTGCTATACGCTTCCGGAATAATAACCGACGCTAAACTAAGGTTTTACCGCGCAGGCCACATTACAACGAATAATTTACAGAGTACCTTGAATTTGATAATCGTTCGCCTCGCCATTTCGCTTTTCACGTCTCACAATTTCCCAACATCCAATACTCTGTAATTAACTAAATTATAAACTAATTAATAATTATTACAGACTGTAGGCCTAATATCTATTATTTATAAATAATATAAATATAGGCCTAGATCTACATCACTATAGAATAGAGTTTACAGAGTATTTTTTAGTCTAAGTATAGATAGAGTACTAGATCTATACATAATACTATATATAGATCTAGTGTAGATATAAATCTAGACCCTATAGGCCTATATAATAATATATATAAAAAAATAATATATATAATAGGCCTATATATTTATATAAATATTTAATAGGCCTTCAGAGTTTCTTCTAGGCATCTCTTCCCAAAATTTTTTTACCGCCCCCCCCCCCCCCCCCCGAAAGAAATGAAATTTATATAATTTATATAGAAAATATATACTTTTAACAGTGTGTGTCCCCCCCCCCCAAAGAAAGTTTATGCCCCCCCCCCCCCCCGAAAATTTCAAGAGCCCCCCCCCCCCCCTCAGAGAAAAAAGTCTGGAAGAAGAAACACTGCTATATTTTTTAGGCCTATAAATTTATGAAAAAAATTAGGCCTAACATTATTTTGCTATTAGATCTAGAATCTAGGTCTTATGATCCAACTGTCAGATTAAAAATATTCTTTTTATTTTGTATTCAGCACAAAACCAGAGTTTAAGTCATGGTTTCTTGCAATGTTTATGAAAATTATTTTTTAAACTAGTACATGTTTGTTGTTACAGTTATTATCTTTGAAGAAGTTGAAACAGAAACAGACGGCTGTTTCCTCAACCCTTGTGATAAAAACGCCCAGTGTATTGAACACAATGGGGGATCCTGTTGCGCCTGTGTTCCGCCCTTTTATGGAAATGGCATCAACTGTCTGGAACCAGGTAAACAAGTGCTCAATTGTTGATTTGTTTTAGCACTATTAGGATACGGACCAATTATTTCGGACATGAGTGGGTGGCAGTTCATAATAATTCCAAGTTAGTGAGCTAGAAACTCATGCATTTATGTTTTCTAGAAACTCATGCATTTATAATGTTTTTTAGAAACTCATGCATTTATAATGTTTTCTAGAAACTCATGCATTTATAATGTATTAGAAACTCATGCATTTATAATGTTTTCTAGAAACTCATGCATTTATAATGTTTACTAGTAAACAATCAGTGTGGGAAAATATTTTGTTTATTTATAATATATTTTAAAAATCTTCAATTCTTAGGAGCTTGGTACATCCTGTAACATTGTACCATTACTTACCCTTCCCAGCAATTCCAGTGTATTACCTAAAAAATTTTTTTTTTTTTTAATATCACAGATATCCCACAGAAGTTGGATGGTAGAGTGTACGGTACCCTGAACGGCATCCCCATGAGCAACCGTTCAATCCTGCACACGTACGTTGTCACAACAGACGGTCGATCCTACAGCGCCATCTCTAATGTGCCATCAAGTCTAGGGCCGGCCATGCAGGCTCTGAATTCTATTGGTGGGATTATCAGTTGGCTTTTTGCTGTGCCGATTAGCCCAAATGCTAAAAATGGATTTTCTTACACGGGTAAGAAGGATCAGATTATGCAAAGTTTTTTTTTAAAGGGTTGGATTTACTATACATTTTGATCTAAACCCCCTAAGAGATCTAAAAGAACACATCTTGTTTTGTTTACAAAAACATCAGTCCAGCATACCCAGGGTGTGTAATCACACAGAGCTAGTCTGGTTAGGCGTAAAAGTGATGAGTGAGAAAAACTGACCTTTTTTGGACCTTCTGGTCAGTAAGGCATGTGAAGTAGAGTCCATCTTGTTTCCATGATCTCTGCATATGAAGGGATAATGACACGCTGTCCAGGATCCAAACTCAAGACTAGCTGGTTAGCAGTCATGCACTCTGCTACCCAGCCACATCTGATAAAAACTACTGGTAGTTTACATGTATAGGAGTCTTGTGTGAGGGTTATCCCTGACGGTGTAATATTTATGTCAACACCTCTAACTATGGTTATTGAACTAGCTATTTACTTTGCATAATATAAACCATGTAGTGTAGGCTTACTGAGTTGTTTATTTTATTTACATTGAATTTGTGGAGTATGCAAACTAATGAGCTTACTTTCTCATATATATTATACTATTGTACTATAAAAGTATAATTGTATTTTGAAAACATAGCGTTGTGTTTTAAAAATATTGGATTAGCTAAGGTTTTCCAATCAAATCATAAATATAAGTTTCTGTAAAAACTATAAGGTTCTGAAAAAATATAAGTTCCTGTAAAAAATATAAGATTCTGTAAAAATATAAGTTTCTGTAAAAAAATAAAATACTTTCAGGTGGTGTTTTCAATAGAACAGCTGGGGTGTCCTAAGGTTCGAATCAAATCATTAATATAAGTTTCTGTAAAAATATAAAAATACTTTCAGGTGTTGTTAATAGAACAGCTCGTGTGTCCTAAGGTTCGAATCAAATCATAAATATAAGTTTCTTTAAATAAAAATACTTTCAGGTGGTGTTTTCAATAGAACAGCTCTGGTGTCCTAAGGTTCAAATCAAATCATTAATATAAGTTTCTTTAAAAAAATACTTTCAGGTGGTGTTTTCAATAGAACAGCTCTGGTGTCCTAAGGTTCGAATCAAATCATTAATATAAGTTTCTGTAATAAAAATAACAATACTTTCAGGTGGTGTTTTCAATAGAACAGCTCTGGTGTCCTAAGGTTCAAATCAAATCATTAATATAAGTTTCTTTAAAAAAATACTTTCAGGTGGTGTTTTCAATAGAACAGCTCTGGTGTCCTAAGGTTCGAATCAAATCATTAATATAAGTTTCTGTAATAAAAATAACAATACTTTCAGGTGGTGTTTTCAATAGAACAGCTCGGGTGTCCTTCCATTCCCTGTCTGCTAACAGGGCTGAACACACTGTGCGCATCTCTCAGGCTTTCTATGGGTTCAATGACCAGTCGCACAAGTCCCTTCGTATGACCACGACACTAGATGGCAGCTTGCCCGACGTTCCACTTGGTGCCCTCGTTACTATAGATGACTACACGGAGAACTACAAGAAAACGGCTAGAGGTAATGTAGTGCAGATGAATTTTAGTGGGTTGTTGCTGACCGACATATAGGTAGTTGACTTGCTACCCTTTTCCCCTATTTGTGTGTTCATCCCAGATGTTTGCTTGCTCTATTGGTCAACTATACTGTGTGGTGGTCCATCCTGCTATATTGGTCACCTATATTGAGTGGTCAATTCAGGTAGTTTGCCTGCTATATTGGTCACCTATATTGAGTGGTCAAACCATTGTAGTTTGCCTGCTATATTGGTCACCTATATTGTGTGGTCAAACCATTGTAGTTTGTCTGCTATATTGGTCACCTATATTGTGTGGTCAAACCATTGTAGTTTGCCTGCTATATTGGTCACCTATATTGAGTGGTCAAACCATTGTAGTTTGTCTGCTATATTGGTCACATATATTGTGTGGTCGAACCATTGTAGTTTGCCTGCTATGTTGGTCACCTATATTGTGTGGTCAAACCATTGTAGTTTGCCTGCTATATTGGTCACCTATATTGAGTGGTCAAACCATTGTAGTTTGCCTGCTATATTGGTCACCTATATTGAGTGGTCAAACAATTGTAGTTTGCCTGCTATATTGGTCACCTATATTGAGTGGTCAAACCATTGTAGTTTGCCTGCTATACTGGTCACCTATATTGTGTGGTCAAACCATGAAGTTTGCCTGCTATATTGGTCACCTATATTGTGTGGTCAAACCATTGTAGTTTGCCTGCTATATTGGTCACCAATATAGTGTGGTCAAACCATTGTAGTTTGCCTGCTATATTGGTCACCAATATAGTGTGGTCAAACCATTGTAGTTTGCCTGCTCTATTGTTCACCTATATTGTGTGGTCAAACCATTGTAGTTTGCCTGCTATATTGGTCACCTATATTGAGTGGTCGAACCATTGTAGTTTGCCTGCTATGTTGGTCACCTATATTGTGTGGTCAAACCATTGTAGTTTGCCTGCTATATTGGTCACCTATATTGAGTGGTCAAACAATTGTAGTTTGCCTGCTATATTGGTCACCTATATTGAGTGGTCAAACCATTGTAGTTTGCCTGCTATACTGGTCACCTATATTGTGTGGTCAAACCATGAAGTTTGCCTGCTATATTGGTCACCTATATTGTGTGGTCAAACCATTGTAGTTTGCCTGCTATATTGGTCACCAATATAGTGTGGTCAAACCATTGTAGTTTGCCTGCTATATTGGTCACCTATATTGTGTGGTCAAACCATTGTAGTTTGCCTGCTATATTGGTCACCAATATAGTGTGGTCAAACCATTGTAGTTTGCCTGCTATATTGGTCACCTATATTGTGTGGTCAAACCATTGTAGTTTGCCTGCTATATTGGTCACCTATATTGAGTGGTCAAACCATTGTAGTTTGCCTGCTATATTGGTCACCTATATTGTGTGGTCAAACCATTGTAGTTTGCCTGCTATATTGGTCACCAATATAGTGTGGTCAAACCATTGTAGTTTGCCTGCTATATTGGTCACCTATATTGTGTGGTCAAACCATTGTAGTTTTCCTACTCTATTGGTCACCTACAGTGAGTAATCAGTACAGCTTCAAGATAGTGTGTGGCTAATATGGGATATAAACTTCTTCTTTGCCTTTTCTACTGCCTGTTCAGATAGGTCATACACAACATTTTTCCATCCTTTTATGTCCTTTTTTTTTCTATTTCTTCCCAACTCCATCTGATAATTTTGATGTTCCCCACGCCAGGTGTTTTTAGGACTCTATCTTTTTTTTGGTTGTTGTGGATTCCAGGACATGCCTTGTCTGGCAATATTTGCTGCCAGATTCCTCAACATATGGTCTATCCATCTCTAACTTCTTTTTTTTATAATTTCTTGCTTCACTTTGACTGCCCTGTATTTTCCCATGCTGTTGTGTTGTAATCTACTGCCAATTGTATTTTGTTAATGTATTGATCTTAAGGACATTTAGTGAACATTATATTTAGCTACTCATTAAAATTTACCTTCCTGATTTTTATTCAATTAATCTGCAACATATTCTGTATAATGAACAGCACTAAACTTTTCAATATAGGCACCATAAAATCCTTTGCTGCTAGAACTTTCCGCATCAACGACATTGCCTATCGTTACTCTTGGGATAACACCATCACATTTGACGAGTGTGAATCAGATGATTCTAGCAACGGAAATGATGTCATGAAAGTCATCGTCTCCAGGCATTACGTCAAGCACAACGAGAATGACAATGTTGTACGGTATGCTATGTCGTCAAAAGTTGGAATATTTTTAGGTAAGTGGATACATACTTTGTTACTGAAGTAATACTGCAAATGGTTGTGTGGCAAGGCTACTTGGTGAATTTACTAGCTGTTTTTTTTTTTGTGTAAACAACATATAGGAAACACATCAATGTCAAATAACACTCTTTCTAAATGTTTCATATATTAGGGAAAACTTCTAAAAAGTGCAGTGCTTTATAATAAAACACAACTCAGATTTTCAAGGTCAACCTCTTTATAATTTATACTCAAAATTTTAATTGAGTATTATACTTGTTTAATTTGCTGCAGTTATTTTTTTTTTATTCTGCATTTTATCTATCTATATTATACTGAAATTGTATAAGAAGAGTGATTCATTTTGGGGATAAAAGGGTTTTATAGGGTAGGCTGGAATTAATGGGTCATTGGTTTGTGTTGTGCAGTACAGCCTGCAGCAGACCGACCGTTTTCCAAAGGTAAACTGGGTTGTCTAGTATGTTAATAAAACTAAGTGTAACATGAGTAAGAGAAATCTTGTTTTTTTGCAGGGGCCGACCCTTGTGTCACTGCGAGAACAAACTGTGCCAGCAACACTGATTGCATCCCAGATGGGGATTCCTACAGCTGTGTTTGCCGCACTGGGTTCTCAGGGGATGGCCAGTCATGCTCAGGTAAAACAAACACAAATGTTGGATCAGATAGATCTTGGTTTGCTGTTAGTTGTTTCCCCTGGTGAGCTTGTTTGATGGAAAGCATCTTCTTCTATGTATGAGGTGTATGCAGGTCCTATTTAGTATGTATAAGGTGTATTCAGTATGTATGTTGTGTATTCAGTATGTACGAGGTGTATTCAGTATGTATGAGGTGTATTTAGTATGTATGAGGTGTATTCAGTATGTATGGGGTTTATTTAAACAATGTAGTACGTATGAGGTGTATTCAGTATGTATGTATGACGTGTATTCAGTATGTATGACGTGTATTCAGTATGTATGAGGTGTATTCAGTATGTATGAGGTGTATTCAGTATGTATGAGGTGTATTCAGTACGTATGAGGTGTATTCAGTATGTATGAGGTGTATTCAGTATGTATGACGTGTATTCAGTATGTATGACGTGTATTCAGTATGTATGAGGTGTATTCAGTATGTATGAGGTGTATTCAGTATGTATGAGGTGTATTCAGTATGTATGACGTGTATTCAGTATGTATGAGGTGTATTCAGTATGTATGAGGTGTATTCAGTATGTATGAGGTGTATTCAGTACGTATGAGGTGTATTCAGTATGTATGAGGTGTATTCAGTATGTATGACGTGTATTCAGTATGTATGAGGTGTATTCAGTATGTATGACGTGTATTCAGTATGTATGACGTGTATTCAGTATGTATGAGGTGTATTCAGTATGTATGAGGTGTATTCAGTATGTATGACGTGTATTCAGTATGTATGAGGTGTATTCAGTATGTATGAGGTGTATTCAGTATGTATGAGGTGTATTCAGTATGTATGAGGTGTATTCAGTATGTATGACGTGTATTCAGTATGTATGAGGTGTATTCAGTATGTATGAGGTGTATTCAGTATGTATGAGGTGTATTCAGTATGTATGAGGTGTATTCAGTATGTATGAGGTGTATTCAGTATGTATGAGGTGTATTCAGTATGTATGACGTGTATTCAGTATGTATGACGTGTATTCAGTATGTATGAGGTGTATTCAGTATGTATGAGGTGTATTTAGTATGTATGAGGTGTATTCAGTACATATCAGGTGTATTCAGTACATATCAGGTGTATTCAGTATATATGTAGCCAGTATGTATGAGGTGTATTCAGTATGTATGAGGTGTATTCAGTATGTATGAGGTGTGTTCAGTATTTGTTCAGATGTTGATGAAAGCCAAATTTGAAAATGTTCATTGTTTTCTTGTATTTGTTTAGATGTTGATGAATGCCAAATTTGAAAATGTTCATTGTTTCCTTGTATTTGTTCAGATGTTGATGAATGCTTGAGAAGACCTTGTCATGAAAATGTTCATTGTTTCCTTGTATTTGTTCAGATGTTGATGAATGCCAAATTTGAAAATGTTCATTGTTTCCTTGTATTTGTTCAGATGTTGATGAATGCTTGAGAAGGCCTTGTATTGAAAATGTTCATTGTTTTCTTGTATTTGTTCAGATGTTGATGAATGCTTGAGAAGGCCTTGTATTGAAAATGTTCATTGTTTTCTTGTATTTACTCAGATGTTGATGAATGCCAAATTTGAAAATGTTCATTGTTTCCTTGTATTTGTTCAGATGTTGATGAATGCTTGAGAAGACCTTGTCATGAAAATGTTCATTGTTTCCTTGTATTTGTTCAGATGTTGATGAATGCCAAATTTGAAAATGTTCATTGTTTCCTTGTATTTGTTCAGATGTTGATGAATGCCAAATTTGAAAATGTTCATTGTTTCCTTGTATTTGTTCAGATGTTGATGAATGCTTGAGAAGACCTTGTCATGAAAATGTTCATTGTTTCCTTGTATTTGTTCAGATGTTGATGAATGCTTGAAAAGACCTTGTCATGAAAATGTTCATTGTTTCCTTGTATTTGTTCAGATGTTGATGAATGCTTGAAAAGACCTTGTCATGAAAATGTTCATTGTTTCCTTGTATTTGTTCAGATGTTGATGAATGCTCAATTTGAAAATGTTCATTGTTTTCTTGTATTTGTTCAGATGTTGATGAATGCTTGAGAAGACCATGTCATGAAAATGCCCGCTGTAGGAACACAATAGGTAGCTTCCAATGTATGTGTCAGTCTGGCTTTATTGGAGATGGTCGCACCTGCAAAGGTATTCTTTGATTAGTTTGGTAAAATTATTTTTTTCTAATCAGATAATTTTTCTATAAAATATTTCAATCCATACAACTTTAGATACACATGCAAAGCTATTCTTTGATTATTTTAGTAGTTTTCTTTTTCTAATCAGATAATTTTTCTCTAAAATATTTCAATTCATACATCTTTAGATGCACATGCAGTTATTTTTTAAAATTATTTTAGTAGTTTTCTTTTTCTAATCAGATAATGTTTTTCTAAAATATTTCATACAATGTTAGTTGTCGCTGATGATATTAGTAGTGTTTATTTTCTCTAATCAGATGATTTTTCTAAAATATTCCATTCAGCGTAAGCACACCTATAAAGATATTTCTTAATTAGATAGGTAGAACTTATTTTCACATATCACATCTGTTTTCAAAACTATCCCATATAACTTGTGATACTAAAAACTGAAACCTTCATTCAGCTAATGTTTCCTACTGTGGAACAAGTGTATGCGACCCCAACGCGAGATGTATTGTTGACGAACATGAGGACAAACATTGTCAGTGTCTTATTGGCTATGTTGGGGATGGAATCACATGCTCTTATATCTGTAAGTTGTATTTTTGCTAATTCTCCTGTAAGTTGCAGGATGTTTGCTAAAACTCCTGTAAGTTTCAAGATTTTTACTAAAACACCTGTAAGATGCTGGATTTTTTCTAAAATTTGCTAACACCTGTATGATGCAAGATTTTTGCTAAAACTACTGTATGATGCAAGATTTTTGCTAAAACTCCTGTAAGATGCAGGATTTTTGCTAAAATTTGAAAATTTGCTAAAACCTGTATGATGCGAGATTTTTGCTAAAACTCCTGTATGATGCAAGATTTTTACTAAAACTTGTGTAAGATGCAAGATTTTTGCTAAAACCTGTACTTTGCAGGATTTTTGCTAAAAATGACAAATTATCTTAGATAATATTTAAGGTTGGGTTAGGTTAAGGTTAGCCTTTAGAACTAGGGATGAGGCTGGTTTGGTATTGATAATAGCATAATGAGACCAAGACTATTTCCTGCCCATGTTTTAATGTCCCAGTATAGACCATTGACCACTTAAACCCTGTAAAAACTAGCACTACTAGATTCTACTAACTTTCTTTTAAATAAAACACTATTGCTTCTTTATATATTGAACAGGTTTTACATCCTGTGCCCAAGTAATATGCCTTATATGCCAGTTTCCACAGATTTGTTGAAAGCAACTCAATAAATCCCAATATTTATCTAAATTAATAAATCCATAAAAAACTACATACTAAAGTATATTATTTTACAGTTGTAAAGTATTTAAGCGAAAAACTGCTTCCATCACTATCTTAAATTGAAACGTGTAACTCATTATACATTTGAGGAGTCCTTTAGCAAAATCTGTGATTTCAGAGTTTTAAAAAAAAATGAGTTATCCTTAGAGACTACTTAATTAATTAAGTGGCAGTTATATATTTTATATTATTTTTTTCTAAAAAAGTATACTTTAAAATTAATTTTAAATAGTAAAATAGTGAAAACTCTAAGATTAGTTTAGACATAAATTTTAAAGTAATTTTCCTGAAAATCAATCCGCTTGGGCAGATGAGGTTCGTTAGCTGGGGACAGCTACTCTTCTAGGAGAGACAACTCCAAAATCAAACAACTGCTGCCTTGTAGTTTGTTCTTGGTTGATATGAAAGCAAATCCAAAAAGAAAAGCAGGCTGAAATCAGAGTCAATGGTCTCAATGGCGCATGACCAGTTGACACGTATACTTAATTGTGTTGGAGGGGATCCCTTCCAATACTAAAATTAAGAACGAAGAAGAAGAATCTGAAGTGACTTAGCAGATTTAGCAAGTGGACCACGCATTCGTCTAACATAACTCACCTTTTTTTCCACTGTTCACCTGTTGCAGCTGGCAACTGTAACGAGGTCCAGCTCTGTCCACCCAACTCCAGGTGTGTCTATGACGAGGAACTGCGCTCCTTCAGCTGTGAGTGTCTGGATGAGTTCAGTGGAGATGGAACCTCCTGCGAACCCATGAGTGGTGAGTTTCTCCCATCATTCAGTGTTGGTATTAAAACTAAAACCTCTTTGTTTCATTTTTAGAGATATGTAACTGTGTATAAAAGAAATACTCAAGGACTTGATTGTAATGTGTTTGTGAATAAAACGTTTAGTTTTATATTTATAGAAGTATTTCAATAACTTTTATTTGATAAGAAACTGTTGTGTGAAAGTAAACAAACAAAAGTAAAAATTCACACCAGTGGAAGATTTAGAGCAAGGTTTTTATGTTCAGTTCTTGTATGATGATATTGTTTGAACTCTTCAGTTCTGTGTGAACAAATACAATGCTTATGCACTCATGTTGTAAATTTTATTGTTCCCTTCAATGTTCCCCCAGCTACCCAGCTGTGACTCAAATTATGGCCGACTGTATTAGCTGTAAATTTTATTGTTCCCTTCAATGTTCCCCCAGATCCCTGCTGTGACTCATGTTATGGCTGACTGTGTTAGTTGTAAATTTTATTGTTCCCTCCAATGTTCCCGAGATCCCTGCTGTGACTCATGTCATTGCATGGCCGACTGTGTTAGTTGTAAATTTTATTGTTTCCTCAAATGTTTTCAGATCTTGGCTGTGACTCATGTTATCGCATGGCCGACTGTGTTAGTTGTAAATTTTATTGTTTCCTCAAATGTTTTAAAATCTTGGCTGTGACTCATGTTATCGCATGGCCGACTGTGTTAGTTGTAAATTTTATTGTTCCCTCCAATGTTCCCCCAGATCCCGGCTGTGACTCATGTCATCGGATGGCTGACTGTATATATGACGCAGCAGGCCGCCCCAGTAGGTGCCAGTGTAAGCCTGGTTTTACAGGTGATGGCAGGAGTTGTACACAAATTGGTGAGTACCTGTTTCATGTACAGGTAGGTGGTTTATTGTAGGTTAGGAGTTATACAGGTGATGGCAGGAGTTGTACACAAATTGGTGAGTACCTGGTTCATGTACAGGTAGGGGGTTTATTGTAGGTTAGGAGTTATACAGGTGATGGCAGGAGTTGTACACAAATTGGTGAGTACCTGGTTCATGTACAGGTAGGGGGTTTATTGTAGGTTAGGAGTTATACAGGTGATGGCAGGAGTTGTACACAAATTGGTGAGTACCTGGTTCATGTACAGGTAGGGGGTTTATTGTAGGTTAGGAGTTATACAGGTGATGGCAGGAGTTGTACACAAATTGGTGAGTACCTGGTTCATGTACAGGTAGGGGGTTTATTGTAGGTTAGGAGTTATACAGGTGATGGCAGGAGTTGTACACAAATTGGTGAGTACCTGTCTTATTTACAGGTAGGTGGTTTATTGTAGGCAAAGAGCACCAATTCTGAAAGGGAAACAACTAATACAAATTTATATTAATAGACTATTCAGCCTGAATATTTAGTTAATAAATTTATGCCAGTTGTTATTCTTCAAATTAAAATAGAGATTTTATTGCCACAAATTAAAAAAAAAATAAATGAAAATTTAATTTTTCTATTGTTCTGTATAAATTATTTATAGATTTTATCTAAAGTTAGTATAGCTTTGATCTGACTCATGGTAATGAAAGTAAAAATGGCTGGGCTTTGAACTGACCCCACTTTCCCTGAAACATAAGAACTCTACTCCATTAGTTCTAAACACTAAAAAAAAAAAAAAACAGATGGTATTTATGACCAGCGTCCACATAATATTGACATCAGTTCTGATTTTTTAAATTTTGCTTCAGATTCCTGTGCTGAATGTGATCAGAACGCCAGATGTGTATTTAACGATGACACCAGTGACTTTGAGTGCGTCTGTGACCGTGCGTACAGTGGGGATGGCAAGACGTGCGTGAGGAGGGACTGCAGGGAGGACGTGAGCATGTGCCACCCTGAGGGCGGGCTGTGCTGGCACGACAAAGCCAAGAACTTCAGCTTCTGCAGGTGTAACTATGGTTACAGAGGTGAGCTGTTTGGTGGTTGTTGTAATATAGGTTCAAGAAAATGTTGTTGTTGAAATCTGGTTAAAACAGGTACCACATGTGGAGAATGTATCTGGTCTTCTTTTTATTTTTTTATTTTTTAGGATTAATCTAAGAGTAAATCAGTGTATGACAGTATGTGTAGTTCAACATTAGATGATTAATGTGGTAGGGTGGTAAAGCCTGTGATTACATACTTTATGAATTTTGGTTCAAGTTTAATGAGTACCTGTTGAAGGTTAAAGGTCATTACTAAACCTTAAAGTGAGAAAAAATACTCAATGTATTTAATTTTTACTTGATTATCCCTATTTTAAAAAGTAAATACTATTTACTTCTATCCTAAATAAAAAAAAAATATTGGGTTACTGATCTTATAAAGCTGATGTGTTAGTTATGTTAGTTATATTTATTTTGTTTACCAGTTATATTATCTAGTTATGTCAGGGGTCGGCAACCTGCGGCTCTCGAGCCGCATGCGGCTCTTTTGATATCAAGATGCGGCTCTCCAGCTCCTTGCACAAATACTAATAATCTTAATTTTAAAAAATATATTTAAAATAAAAAAAAATTTTAGTGGCTCTTTAAAACCAGGAAATTTCGAAAATTGTAACTTTTGGCTCTTCCGCTTCAAAAGGTTGCCGACCCCTGACCTAGCTGTAACGGTACTTAAGTTATCGTGTTTACACACAGACAGACAGACAGACAGACACACACACACACACACACACACACACACACACACACAGACATACGGACAAGATTTCAAAATTATGTTTTTCCGTATCAGTGAGGTGTAAAACGTCGAGATTTGTAAAAATCTCGATTTTTTTTTTTTGCACGATTACAAGACTTTCTCTATACTTCGTATATACGAGAAAGTAAAAATCAAAACACTAATAGAACTATTACAGCACCACTTAGATAATTTCTGTGGGCCCACACGGTATACTGGCCCGCCGAGTCCACCCCTGGTCTTTAAAGTAGGTCTACATACAATCATGAAATGTGTTTTCTTTAAACAAAATAAAAGGGCTATAAAAATAGCTTAAGGACGATTCACTAAAGCAGGGGTCTCCAAACTGCAGCCTGCGGGCCAGATGTGGCCCGCGATGTCCTCTCATCCGGCCCGCGGAGATATTTTTGTCCAAGGAAAAAGCGTTTGTTGGTGGTGGCTGAGGAACTTTGACCAGAAAAATCAAAGACATTTCTGGAAGAAATTGGCCCCCGAACTGAAAATTGATAGTTAATGCGGCCCTCGGACTGAAAAATTTGGAGACCCCTGCACTAAAGGATTCACATTATAATTTTAACATTACTATTCAATGTTTGTTGTCTAGTCACCTAAAATAATGGGTTTACTATTACCTTTAGCACTAAGAGTGCCCAATGATTTTTTTAGAGACTTTCCTATGGCGGGTGGGGGGGGGGGGGGGGCTTGAGACCTGAGGAAATGGGGGGGAGAGACTTAATTTTCATGAGGCGGGGGTAAAAGCTTATATTTTTTATATAGCTTAAATTATATTTGTTGCGTGGGGGGGGGGGGGGCAGATGAAGAGATGCCTGAAAGATCTGAAAGAAACCCTGCCTATACCGGTTATGAAATATTTGGAGTGGGTAAGCCTATGGTTAAAACAGAACAAACATTTCTTCTGCTAGTCGACTTGGAAATATATTTAGTTCACAAGGGAGACAAGTCTGTTGCCATATTTTGTTCGTCAGAAGAGAGACAACCCAGTCTAACTTAGCACAGAGTAAGCTACGTGTGTTTAGTTCCCAAACTTTGGAAATCTGAATTTTAAAATGTTGATATAGTTTTAAGTAAATTTAATAATTAATTATAAGTAGTACATTGATATACAGAATATGATAATTTATATTTTGTTTTTATTATTCATTGTACTCTGCCTTTGCATTTTATGAATGTGTAATTCTACATATTTTGTTTAATTAGTACAAATAATAATGATTTCTCTTTGCAAAATAGCAGTCACAATTTTCATATTATTCTTTTAGTTCTCTATCTTCCCATACCGTCCATCACCCCATTCAAGCTTATATAGCAGTCTTTTGATGTCAAGAGGCTCTATTGATGTCAAGATGCCATCACCCCATTCAAGCTTATATAGCAGTCTTTTCATGTCAAGAGGCTCTATTGATGTCAAGATGCGGCTCTCCAGCTCCTTGAACAAATACTAATAATCTTAAAAAAAAAAAAAAATTTGAAATTAAAAAAATGTTAGTGGCTCTTTAAAACCAGGGAAATTTTGAAAATTGTAACCTTGTGGCTTTTCGGCTTCAAAAGGTTGCCGACCCCTGAATTATGTGGTTGTAGCTAGTGTAATATATATTGGAAATGTTTTATACATGGGGTTGTCTTCTCATTAATTATTAATTGGATAAATATTGTCATACAATGTCATTTTGCTTACTGACTTACTGTGACTTTTTTTTTGTTCAATTAATTAAAAATTGAAATCCCATATTTTAAACTAATTGAAGATATAAACATATTGCAATACTTATATACTTGCAATTTCCTTGTCTGTAAAAAATTAACAACAAAAATACGTTATTCTGTAACAGTGGTTCTTAACATTTTTGGAGGTACCAAACCAGTTTCATATGCATAATCACCAAACACTTCTTGGTAGTTCTATGGTCCGCACATACAAAACCCAATCACGAATCATAGGAGTGTGTGTCTTGACCTCCACCAAACCCCTAAGACTGACTCACCGCCACCCTGAGATTCTTAAAACCCAGGTTAAGAACCACTGTTCAGTCTAAAGCTAAATATTCTACAAGCTATCAGGGTTAGACCAAGCATCATTTACTATCAGTGACTTGTTGCTTGAACAGAGCCTGTTTATGTTTTTATTTTACCAGGTGATGGATTTAACTGTCAACCAGTTGGATGCGATGTCTACAAGGACTGCGATGAAAATGCCCAGTGTGTGTTCAATGGCACCAGACATGTATGCCTGTGTAATGAAGGATTCACTGGGGATGGCAGACGGTGCAGGCCTAAGGGTAAACATTTTCTGGAGTAGACTTGATTTAGTTATAATTCCTGGGTGTCCAACAGCTCAATGTGTTTATTCAAATTATTTTTTGCTGATTTTGTTTGTAAACTAAGAAGGCCTGTTTGTATTGTTTTTATATTTTTACTTATATTTACCTATTTCACATCAATTTTTTCCTGTATCACAAATTATTACAAATTTTTTCCACACCAACTGTTTTATATATTACACACTATTGCACACACTTTTCACACCTATCATTTTTATAATACAAATTATTATGCATGTTTTTACATAATTTTCCATATTACACATTATTGAACTTTTTTTTCATATATACTTTTCTATATTACACTACATTATACTTATTTCCAACCCATTTGTTTTATTTCCATCTTACAGAAGGATGTGAGGATTACAACGACTGCTCCAGCAATGCCAGGTGTATCCAGAACCCATTAGACACGACCAAGTTTAGCTGCAGGTGTAATCCAGGATATATTGGCGACGGGAGGACCTGCACACTACAGAGTGAGTTTGAGCATTTATTCTAGGGAACTGTGTGCGATCCATTCTTGGCTCAAGTAGACTAGGTTGTACAAGTTTAGGGTAAATGAAATGACAAGCAAAAATGTGAATTTAGTCTAAAAATAAAATCGAGCATACTTAAAAATAATTTTTATGGAGATTTTTTTAAGCTACTAATGTTATTATTATGCCACATATTATTGCTAGAAAGAATATTGTACACAAGAACATGTTAACTAATTCAAGCCATCCCATTCCTCAATAGTCCTACCATGTAACCAGGTCAATAACTGTAACAAAATTTAACCTATGCTACCTATTACTACTAGATACACTAAGAAAACATTGTACACTAGAACATGTTGACTAACTCAAGTCATCCCATTCCTCAACAGTCGTACCATGTAACCAGGTCAACAACTGTAACAAAATTTAACCTATGCTACCTATTACTACTAGATACACTAAGAAAACATTGTACACTAGAACATGTTGACTAACTCAAGTCATCCCATTCCTCAACAGTCGTACCATGTAACCAGGTCAACAACTGTAACAAAATTTAACCTATGCTACCTATTACTACTAGATACACTAAGAAAACATTGTACACTAGAACATGTTGACTAACTCAAGTCATCCCATTCCTCAACAGCCGTACCATGTAACCAGGTCAACAACTGTAACAAAATTTAATGTATTACTGCTAGATACACTAAGAAAACATTGTACACAAGAACATGTTGACTAACTCATGTCATCCCATCAACAGCCGTACCATGTAACCAGGTCAACAACTGTAACAAAATTTAAAGTATTACTGCTAGATACACTAAGAACATTGTACACTAGAACATGTTGACTAACACAAGTCATCCCATTCCTCAACAGCCGTACCATGTAACCAGGTCAACAACTGTAACAAAATTTAATGTATTACTGCTAGATACACTAAGAAAACATTGTACCCTAGAACATGTTGACTAACACAAGTCATCCCATCCCTTAACAGCCGTACCATGTAACCAGGTCAACATCTGTAACAAAATTTAACATATTACTGCTAGATACACTAAGAAAACACTGTACACTAGAACATGTTGACTAACACAAGTCATCCCATTCCTCAACAACCGTACCATGTAACCAGGTCAACAACTGTAACAAAATTTAACATATTACTGCTAGATACACTAAGAAAACACTGTACACAAGAACATGTTGACTAACTCATGTCATCCCCTCAACAGCCGTACCATGTAACCAGGTCAACAACTGTAACAAAATTTAACATATTACTGGTAGATACACTAACAAAACATTGTACCCTAGAACATGTTGACTAACTCATGTCATCCCATCAACAGCCGTACCATGTAACCAGGTCAACAACTGTGATCGCAATGCTGAGTGTGTCTATGACCCTGACCTTATGTCCTACACATGCAGGTGTTCCAGAGGGTTTGAAGGTGATGGCATCACATGCAGGGAGAAAGGTGAGTTCTCTATACCCTTGTGTTTGTTTATTTACTCTTGTTCTCGTTATAAAGCATGTTACCCTTTTTTTAACATTTCCTCATGTTATTTGTAATGAATTCATTACAAATCTTTGTTGTCCTTAGCAAACTGGGCAAATTATGTATACTTTTTATCCCAGCTGAAGGGAGTTTTGCAAAACTTTTTCTCATCCTAATTATAATAGTGACAGATTATGAACAAAATTTATCTTAAACTTAAATAAGTTAAACAGTGAGAATATTCTGAGATTAAACGTGGGGGATTGTTTATACTGGGTTGTTAGGTACCTGACCACACAAGTTCTTGTAATGCTTGAGCTTACCCCTTACAGACCTGGGTTTATACTTTTACTATTCCCCTTCCCATCACTATAGTGCAACAATTCAACTTTTTTATTCTGTGCCCTCATTCCCACCCAGTGGCATGGACTCCCATCAAAGTGGGGTTTTGTTTACAAGCACTAAACAGGTTTTTCAACTTTTTAATGCAGTACTGGGCTAACCTACATTCTCTTTATAAGTTACAAATATTAACAGATCTTTAAGTTTGTATAAACTGAATATCACTGCTTTAAATCTGGGAGTAAAAATGTATCACCTTAGTTGGATGGAGTGCTTTACATGACCTAGTAGTACCCTATATCAAGATTTGGATTTTAAATTCTATTTTGTGTTAAAGTCTCATAAGGCTTAGAGCAGGGGTCTCCAAACTTTTCAGTCCGAGGGCCGCATTTACTATCAAATTTCAGTTCGGGGGCCAGTTTCTTCCAGGCATGTCTTCGATTTTTCTGGGCAAAGCTCCTCAACCATCACCAACAAATGTTTTTTCCGTGGACAAAAAAAAAACTCCGCGGGCCGGATGAGAGGACCTCGCGGGCCGCATCCGGCCCGCGGGCCGTAGTTTGGAGACCCCTGGCTTAGAGTATTACCTAGTGCTGGCACATACATTTTACTGATAACTAAACCACACATATTAGATTAACAAGTCCGAATTCAATAAAATAAGGTTTAATAAAACAATTTTTTTGTTTCTGCAGATATCTTTGACTGTCGCAGGAACCCACGATTGTGCAGCACAAGCGCTTCCTGTGTTCAAGGCGCCCATGAGGCTTATGTGTGTGTCTGTCTGCCAGGGTTCAGGGGAGATGGAGCGGTATGCGGACGTAAGATGTCTTCCCTTCTTGTGGTGTCTTTTTAATGCTAGCTTCATTTAGTCATAAACTTTCTCATTTTTTTGTAATTTATTACACTTTTTGTGTCTGGTCGAATTTTATATGTAAGTTATCTCCCTTTTTGTATGTTATCTAGGGTAAATTATCTCCCATCTTGTGTTAGTTATCTTCTGTTATTTCCCGCTTTTGGAAATTAACTCCCTTTTTAAATATTTTCTCCTGGTTTGTGTAAGTCTTCTCACTTTTTTATGTCCCTTTTTTAATGGAATTTTTAATTGTGTATGTTTTCTTCATTCATATATAAGTTATCTGACTTGTTTATTATGTCTGGTCTAATTGATATCTTTTCCCATCTTATGTTTGTTATCGCCCTTCTTGTGTAAGTTATCTCCCCTTTCTCCCCTTCTTGTGTAGGTTTTTGTTCATCTACTTGTTATTACTTGAAAAGATCATTCTGTAATTGCACCCTAATGTTTAGTATGGGAAAGGCCAAATCTACTTCATTGGTATTGCACACAATGGCCAATAAATAAAATATTCTAATAGCTGTTAGATTAGGCAACTATAACACCTTAACATGAACATCAAAAGAAACAAAACATGTATTCTACAGCTGTTGTGAGAGAAGGATACTATCTAGTCTATGCCCAAGGAGCCAAAGTGATGAGAATTTCAGCTGACAACAAGCCAGGAGAGTATGGCAGGCAAATTGTCCACATCCCTGGTAAGTTGGGCTGCCCACATTTATTTTATTACTTGAATTTGTTTTTTGTAAATTGTAAGAGTATGTTGATACGTTGGTGTGTCTGCAAAAGTTTGAAAAAAAAATTACTTTCTTTTTACTTTAAGCTGTTTCTGAATTGATTTCTGTTAGAATACTTGTGTGTACTCTGTTTTTGCTAGTTTTGTAGACTGTGAGTATAGAGTTGTGTGACTTTTCAAATTAAATGTAGGTGTAATGATATATAGTACAATTGCAGTTGTACTGAAAAAATACAAACACCCATGTAATGATATTATACATGTGTATGTGTTATGATTTATAAGTTTAGGCTTAATGATATAACATGTGTAGTCTCAGTACCATATTACCAGTGTAATTTTAATCATATAATACAAGTGTAAATAATGATATATAAGTATTGGTATAGTGATGTAACATAAATGTAATGATGTAAACCAATGCTAATGAATCTTGTAATGATGTAAACCAATGCTAATTAGTCTTGTAATGATGTAAACCAATGCTAACGAATCTTGTAATGGCAGGTATGTTGGCTGTGGGAGTGGACACAGACTGTCGAGACGGTCACCTGTACTGGACAGATGCCAGCATGGGGGTCATCAGGCGCGCCAATCTTAATGGTTCACAAGTGGAGACAGTGGTCACAGGTCAGTTAGATGGTCATCTTTATATGTGAGTCACAGGTCAGTTAGCTGGTCATCTTTATATGTGAGTCACAGGTCAGTTAGATGGTCATCTTTATATGTGAGTCACAGGTCAGTTAGATGGTCATCTTTATATGTGAGTCACAGGTCAGTGAGATGGTCATCTTTATATGTGAGTCACAGGTCAGTTAGCTGGTCATCTTTATATGTGAGTCACAGGTCAGTTAGATGGTCATCTTTATATGTGAGTCACAGGTCAGTTAGCTGCTCATCTTTATATGTGAGTCACAGGTCAGTTAGATGGTCATCTTTATATGTGAGTCACAGGTCAGTTAGATGGTCATCTTTATATGTGAGTCACAGGTCAGTTAGATGGTCATCTTTATATGTGAGTCACAGGTCAGTTAGATGGTCATCTTTATATGTGAGTCACAGGTCAGTTAGCTCATAATCTTTATATGTGAGTCAGTGAGTTACAGGTCAGTTAGCTGGTCATTTTTATACGTGAGTCACAGGTCAGTTAGCTGCTCATCTTTATATGTGAGTCACAGGTCAGTTAGATGGTCATCTTTATATGTGAGTCACAGGTCAGTTAGATGGTCATCTTTATATGTGAGTCACAGGTCAGTTAGATGGTCATCTTTATATGTGAGTCACAGGTCAGTTAGATGGTCATCTTTATATGTGAGCCACAGGTCAGTTAGATGGTCATTTTTATATGTGAGTCACAGGTCAGTTAGATGGTCATCTTTATATGTGAGTCACAGGTCAGTTAGATGGTCATCTTTATATGTGAGTCACAGGTCAGTTAGATGGTCATCTTTATATGTGAGTCACAGGTCAGTTAGATGGTCATCTTTATATGTGAGCCACAGGTCAGTTAGATGGTCATCTTTATATGTGAGTCACATGTCAGTTAGATGGTCATCATTATATGTGAGTCACAGGTCAGTTAGCTGGTCATCTTTATATGTGAGTGAGTGAGTCACAGGTCAGTTAGATGGTCATCTTTATATGTGAGTGAGTGAGTCACAGGTCTGTTAGATGGTCATCTTTATATGTGAGTCACAGGTCAGTTAGATGGTCATCTTTATATGTGAGTCACAGGTCAGTTAGCTGGTCATCTTTATATGTGAGTCAGTGAGTCACAAGTCAGTTAGCTGGTCATCTTTATATGTGAGTCACAGGTCAGTTAGCTGGTCATCTTTATATGTGAGTCACAGATTAGTTAGCTGTTCATCTTTATATGTGAGTCACAGGTCAGTTAGATGGTCATCTTTATATGTGAGTCACATGTCAGTTAGCCTGTCATCGTTATATGTGTCACAGGTCAGTTAGATGGTCATCTTTATATGTGAGTCACAGGTCAGTTAGCTGGTCATCTTTATATGTGAGTCAGTGAGTCACAGATCAGTTAGCTGGTCATCTTTATATGTGAGTCAGTGAGTCACAGGTCAGTTAGCTGGTCATCTTTATATGTGAGTCACAGGTCAGTTAGCTGGTCATCTTTATATGCGAGTCAGTGAGTCACAGGTCAGTTAGATGGTCATCTTTATATGTGAGTCACAGGTCAGTTAGATGGTCATCTTTATATGTGAGTCAGTGAGTCACAGGTCAGTTAGCTGGTTATCTTTATACGTGAGTCAGTGAGTCACAGGTCAGTTAGCTGGTCATCTTTATATGTGAGTCAGTGAGTCACAGGTCAGTTAGCTGGTCATCTTTATATGTGAGTCACAGGTCAGTTAGCTGGTCATCTTTATATGTGAGTCACAGGTCAGTAAGATGGTCATCTTTATATGCGAGTCAGTGAGTCACAGGTCAGTTAGCTGGTCATCTTTATACGTGAGTCAGTGAGTCACAGGTCAGTTAGCTGGTCATCTTTATATGTGAGTCACAGGTCAGTTAGATGGTCATATTTATATGTGAGTCAGAGGTCAGTTAGCTGGTCATCTTTATATGTGAGTCAGAGGTCAGTTAGCTGGTCATCTTTATATGTGAGTCACAGGTCAGTTAGCTGGTCATCTTCCAATGTTAGTCACAGGTCATTTAGTATAAGTCAGTGAGTTGCTAGTCAGTTACAAATCTGAATTAGTAAGTTACAGTTTAGGTGGGTTCATCATGTATCAAATCAATATGAGTTACAGGTTTTATATGAATTAGTGAGTACTTGTTTCTCATTAAAAATAGTCACAGACGACTTTGCCATTTGAAGTAATATATGACTGTACATCCATTATGTATAATATCTCCCCCCACCTTTCCTGCCCCCCCCAGGTCTGAAGTCTGTGGAAGGAGTGGCCATAGACCACGTAGCCAGAAACATGTTCTTCACAGACTCTGAGTTAGATGTTCTTCAGGTGTCCAAGCTGGATGGCTCCAATGTTAAAACACTGGTCAGCACTGATATGGTCAACCCCAGAGCTATAGTCTTAGACATCAACAGAGGGTGAGCTTGCTTTACTTTGTTTTCCTCTGCATTTGAAACCAGTTTTCATCAGTTACTAATGCTTTTAGTAAAGTAACTCAATTATTTGTGAATGTTTATTGAAATTATTATTTTTTAAAGTTTTTTCTCTACATTAGGGTATATTTTTTAATTCTTCCCCTAGTTTTATTGGTATTTTTTTTTATTTCAGTTTTATTAAATAAAAATTCAATTATTTTATCCTCCCCTTTAATTTTTGTTGTTTGTTACTTTCCTTATGTTTATTATTGGCTATTCCCCTTGTTTTAATACTTTTTAAAAATAGATTTAAGTAAATTTTCCCCCATATGTTGCAGTGTTTGTTACTCCCCTTTGTATTGACTAGTTATTTCCCTTTTTAAAAAAAAATCTTTTCACCACTCCCCCTTTTGTGTACAGAGTTGTGTACTGGACAGACTGGAACAGGAACAAACCCCAGATAGAGAAGATGTACATGGACGGCACAAACAGACAAGTACTGGTCTCTGAAGGTCTCCAGCTGCCCAATGGCCTGTCATTTGATACCTTCTCTCAGACACTGTGTTGGGGGGATGCAGGTAAGCTCAGCTTCAACACACTCATTTTTTTACTTTCTCGTATATACGAAGTATAGAGAAAGTCTTGTAATCGTGCAAAAAAAAATAAATCGAGATTATTACTATTATAAGGCACTTCCTGGCGCCGCAGGCTCTTCAAATTTGGCAGGATCTTGTCTTGGGGCGACAGAACACGGGGGCCGGTTGGCCGAAAAGTCTAAGATGATGGGGTCAAAACTGACCTCGACTGACCGGCGCCTTATATGAACTATCAATCGAAAAAAAATGTCCACAGAGGAACCTCTTCATAACTCCTGAGGTCGTAGACCGACCCTCGGGCGAATTAATTAAGCATTCAAATTCTCAATGTTTTCGAAAGCCTAAGCGAAGCTGGGCAGCATGCCTAGTAGAAATATAATTTGCCTTATTAAGTTACAACAATTTAGTGATGGTGTGCTTGTGCCTCTTAATAGTCACAGTTGTCAAAATTTTGAAAGGCATATAAACAAGGGTTTTGCATTTTTAATGTTATGGAAAATATATAAACAAAGCATATCGCCTCCCCAGAACCAGACTGTTCTAACTGCATTTTTAAAATGTTTGCAACAAAGCTTTAAAGTTTTAATTTTCTCAACATTCCTATATTAAGCACTTGGTTAAATGTATTATGGTGACACATGATTTCAAATGTTACTGCCATGATGCCTTGGTTGATTAAGAACATAATGATGTATTAATCTTGAAAAAAATAATGTAATTAGAACAATCTGGTTCTAGGGAAGAGATGTGTATACCAATTCTTGCCTATGCCACATTTGACTGTTAAACATTATCTTCACTATTCAATTAATTCTGTTGATCATCTATTTTCTTCTCTATTTAATTGATTCTGTTGATAATTTATTTTATCTTCTCTATTTATTAATTCTATTGATAATTTTGTGTCTTCTCTATTGTAATTGATTATATTGATCATATTTTATTCTCTGTATAATTGAATCTGTTAATAATTTCTTTTCTATTTAATTGATTATATTGATAATATATTTTCTTCTCTATGTAATTGACTATGTTGATAATTTATTTTCTCTTCTCAATTAATTCTATTATTAATTTATTGTCTTCTCTATTTAATTGATTATATTGATAATATTTTATTCTCTATATAATTGAATCTATTGCTAATTTCCCAGGCACCAAAACAATTGAGTGCATCAGATCAGATGGGACAAACCGTCGTATAGTGTATGCCGACGCTACTTATCCATTTGACATTACAATGCTCAATAATGTTATTTACTGGACTGACTGGTCAAGGTAAGCTTGTCTTCTTGCTGATGGTGATAACATTATTTCGGCTGTAGATAGTAGGCCTATATTGAATGTATAGAGGAAAAACACAGTATGTCCGGAAAACTAAATATCAAGAAAATTTAGTTTAATTCTCATTCCATTATTAAAAAAGTTTTTTAGAGTGTACTTGCTTTCTGGTTTTCTCACATTTTACAAGTGTGTTCAGGTATTTTGTGTTATTGTTAGTGTACATATAAATGTACATTGCTTTCATAATTAAGTGGACATGCAATATTGGTTTTCTACACAGATGATCAACACACATCCAAAAAATTTCAGGTGAAGTGAAGGTGAAAAATGTGTTTTTTTACCAGGTGTGCTTGTGATTTTTACCTATGTGAAAAATGTTTGTTTTCAGGAAAGACATACCTAACATCAACCAAAATGGTGGAGAAGTGAACCAGGCCTTGAGGCAAGCTTATGGAGGAAATGGTAAAGCATATGGGATTACCTCTGTCAAGGACCACTGCCCTAGAGGTAATCTTTTGGAATTTTGTAATTGTAAATATTTTAATTTTATTGTGGAAGATTCAGTGGTTTTAATTATGTACTTAATATTTCTTATTAAAATATTAAGGGAGTTGGGCAAAAAGGTGAACTTGTCAGCTTTTTTTTTTTAAATTTGTGAAGTTCACACAAAAAAATGTGATTATTCAAATTCTTGCCAGCTTTTGTGAAATCTAAAGTTGGTATAAATTGTGTTGATTTTAGCTTAAACTCTCATTTTTTTTTTTTTTTTAAATGGTAGCCAAAAATGGAGATTTTTAATATGGTTAGTTGTGTTAAAATGTAGTAGAAATGTAACACAAAAGTATTATTTCATCTCAGTGTGGTGTTTGATGTTGCATCCATTATAAAGATTTATACTCATGTATATTTTAAAACTTCTTTTTTAAAGATTTTTCTTACAATCTAAGAAAGACTTTCTGGTCGATTTTAATATCCATGTTCATAAGAAACATTAATTTATAGTTACAATTTAGTTCATTGCATGTACTTTATTTAAAAGTTTAAAAAAATAAATGAAAATAATTTATATACTAATAATTGGCACACTAATTTACAATTAAACATATTTCATGCCTTGAAATGAATTTAAAATTTAAGAAGAAATTTAATGAAATTAGTTGAACACACATTGAATTTATATAGAAAAGGTTTTTTAAATAATTATTTTTTAAATTTTATTAAGAATTAAGGATTTTTTGTACATAGTAAAGATGTATTGTTTTTGTTGGTTAAGACGACGTAAATTTCTTTCTTTCAACAGTAAGAAACGCATGTGGCTACAACAATGGTGGTTGCAGTCACCTGTGTCTGGCCACACCAAATGGAGGAAGAACTTGTGCTTGCCCTGATGGTGTGGATCCAAGAGTGTGCCAGGGAAATAACTCCGGCTAAAGGAATCAAAGTGCCTAAATTCTGTTTTTATGGTTGAGTACATTTTTTGTACAGATGTTGTACCTGGTGGAAAGTGGTTTGTGTGTGTGGTTAACCGATGCATGCTGGGTAAAAGTGGAATATACATTTGCTTTTTTTTTTTTAAATAGGGCTTAACAGTTTATTTTATTCATATTCAGCTTCAGTTTATTTCATGTTGACGAATGGCTATGCTATCCTGTATTCTAATGTATCTTATCATTTGGTTGTATATTTTTGATAATTTCTTCAAAATTTCTTCACTTCAAAAAAGGTAGTTAGAGAAAATCATTTTGTTAAGAATGTGATGCTAAACATAGTTAACATAAATCATGTATGGGGCTAAAGATTACATGGGATCTTATATGCTAAACGTAGAAGCTAATAGCTGACAATCCTAAATATAACGTGCATATATTCATACACCTGTATAACATGTGCATGTAAATACAAATGCATAGGTAGGTGTATGTAACAAAATTCTTATTAAATGTAATAGTTCTAAGTGTACAATTAAGCTGAACATAGTTCAAACAATCAGTTTTACTTCTGTTGGTTATATTATGTTTGGAAAAATGTTAATTAAGTGTCGTTACAAAATTATTAGTAAAAACTTATGTTTTACTGTTAATACCCTGTATAGCTATAACACATTTGTAAATGTATGTTGCTTCAAAGAATCCTCACTCCTTATTGTATGGCGTCATCCCATAATTTCAACATATGTACCATCTTTCTAGTCTTGTGCTGTGTTGGTTCTATAGAGTTGCTTAGGATCATGATTAACTAATTAGATGCTAATTCAGTCGTATGTACCATATGCCTGATGTAATGCTAGTCAATGAATGTAAGCAGTATTACTTTTAGCTACTGAAAATGTAATTAAATATTTTATGTGTAATGTACATTAAAGTTTTTGAAAAAAAGTTTTTTGTTTGGTCTTTTCTTACTGTATATGCTTGTGTTTTTGTGTAGGTATAATGTATGTTGTGTTGCGTTTATTTATTCCAGCCATTTGAAGTGTTGCTTGTCAAAATACAGTGATAAGTACCAGTGGCGTCGCTAGGTCGGGTGTCACCCAGTGTGGCATCTCATGTTGTCACCTCCCCCCCCACCAACAATAAAAAAATAAAAGTTATAGGCTATGTGTATATAAATATGTATATATATATATCTATTATATAAAGCTCAGTTCTGTATGTAACGCATATGTTTGTCGTTGGTCTTGGATGGATTTAAGTGTTAGACAATTATCGTGCGCATTTGTCTAAATTTATGAGTTAAAAAATTACTATTGAAAGTGTTGGGAAATAATTTTCATTTTTCAAATTATAGTAATAATTGTCGGCATGTTCATTAAACACAAGTTTTTAAAAAATATCATCTTTTACAAAAATTCTAATTATGTCTTTATTTAGTCCTATAGCACTTACTTCCCTTTGATAAATTAGGAAAACACAATTACTTCCCTTTATAAAACCATTGCATTAGTGGAAAATAATTTACTTTTTATTAGTTTGTTTTGGTGTTGGGAAAAAAAATAATTACATAATTAGCGGGGATTGATCAAGTGCAAATGTTGTAGGTATTTTACGGATAAGCTTGGAGTATTATAATTGTTCATTACATTGAAACAGGCGCGTTCGTTTAAGTGAGTGCAAAAGACTATGAATAAGTTGGGGTACTATAGTCGTTCATTAAGCTAAAACAGGTGATTCCGCCCCGGGCGTTGATGTTCGCGTTAGTGTTTTCTTTGTGTTTAGGTGGGTTTGCGTTAGTGGTTGCGTTTTGATTTGGTTCGTTTTTGTTCTTTCTTTTTTCGTTTTTGTTTGTGTTTTTTTGTTTGGGTTTGTATTTGTGTTTTTGGTTGGTTTTGCGTTTGGATTTGGTTTGTTTTCGTTTGCTTTTTCGTTGTTTTTTTTTTTTTTTGTTGGTATTGGTGTTTGTGGTTGGGTTTGTTGTTAGATTTTTGTTTTCTTTTGTATTTGTAATTGTGTTAGCGTTATGTTTGCGTTTTGTTGTTTTGGTTGGTTGTGGTTTGGGTGGGCAATGTCGGGTTTATGATGATTACTAAACACACAGGTAATGGTCTTTAACAGAAAGGTTTTTCACAGAAGCCAGAGCAGGGCCTGGCCGGGACGGCTAGTATATATATATATATATATATATATATATATATATATATATATAATATAAACCGACACTTGGTGTTTCCCCCCCCCCCCCTTCCATTTTGCCAAATCGCGTAAAACTGTGATCACATTATTTTAATTCAAAAGGAACAAAGCAACATTTCATGATTTTCTCGACAGTTAGCTTTGGGGTTTTGTACCTCCAAAAAGGTTAAGAACCACTGTTCTATAGTGTGTTCTTAATCAGGTCTTCAAGATTTGTTTGTTGTGCGAATCCATGGTCGTAATACGAATCAATTAGGGCCTATTGATTAGCTTAGCTGATTCACTAATAATGTTGCTTCCAGTTGGTCTGTTCTTTGTGGAGTTCATGTGAACTGGTTTAGTAGTTTGGCGTACAATAAGGTTAGAGAATCCGATCAAAATATGAGGAGTCATCAAGTTCAATAAGTTTACACAGAGAGACTTGCACATTAAATAGTCTCAATACATAACTTTATGTTGCATGCTTGCGTTTAAAAATATGTCCGATAACCTCTATACCTACTTTTATGATGTGTTAAACAGCGCTTTCAAATCGAGAGACAAATGCCTTCTTCTCACACTTAAAATACTTATCTTTTAGATTAGAAAAATAATGCAGTTCACGTTTTCAACAGGTTTAATGCTAATTGGTTCGTTTCTTATCTCAGCTATGATGTGTTGAGTTTGAAAAAAAAAACTTCATTACGTTCAATTAATACTCTAAGTTCGAACACCGAGGGTTAAGATAAAGTAGAAGTAGTTTGAAAGAACTCGCAGAACTGAAGGGAACTTGGAGTGATCCAGTAACTATGGGTCCTTTGGTGGTTTCTTTGTTGCTTCTTGCTACAGGTAAGTACACGATATTGTAGTGGGTTCGTGTCGTTATTGTCACGTGATTTGGTGAGTACCAGATATTGTGGTGGGTTCGTGTCGATATTGTCACGTGAATTGGTGAGTAACAGATATTGTGATGGGTTCGTGTCGTTATTATCACGTGAATTGGTGAGTACCATATATTGTGGTGGGTTCGTGTCGTTATTGTCATGCGAATTGGTGAGTAACAGATAGTGTGGTGTGTTCTTGTCGTTATTGTCACGTAACTTGGTGAGTACCAGATATTGTGGTGGGTTCGTGTCGATATTGTCACGTGTATGAATGTGTACCAGATATTGTGGTGGGTTCGTGTCGTTATTGTCAAGTGAATTGGTGAATACCAGAGATAGTGAGGTGGGTTCGTGTCCTTATTGTTACGTGAATTGGTGAGTACCAGACTTTGTGGTGTGTTCGTGTCGTTATTGTCACGTGACTGTGTGGGTTCAGGGTTGTCGTCGTCTGGTTATCAGATAAAGGGTGGGTAGGGGCGTTAGTGGCTAGACCCCAGGGGGTGGAGACTTATTGAGTCACGTGATCTTCACTGACAACATAGCTTAGATCTACGCAACCGTTAGTCAGGCTTCAGTATACTATACTTCGTGCCTACTGTTGTTACCGTTATTGAATAGATTGAAATAAATAAATTGAATACAAGTTTTACAATCAGTGGAGTGAACATCACAATTTATAATCACCAGTGGCGTAGGCAGGAGGTTTTAGTTAGCTTGGACCCCCCCCCCCCTCCACCCTTATGGAAAGTGTAATAAAATCACAAATATACCTTCTTAAAATCATAATTAACCACCAATCCTATAAGACAAACAACCGAAGATAGGTTAAAATGTATTGAAAGAGACATGTCCGTTTTCAGATAATCAGAGGCGTAGCGAGGGGGGGGGGGGCGCGGGGTGCGGACCGCACCGGGTGACACCATTTAGGGGGGTGACACCAACGCAAAAAATAACAAAATATATAGAGAAAAACTTGAGGGGGGGGGGGGGTGCAAAACGAAAATTTTTCCACGGGAAGGGTCGCTGCGCCTCTGGGGGGTGACACCAATAAGTGCCGCACCCGGTGACACCCGACCTCGCTACGCCACTGCAGATAATACCTACTCAAACGCAGAAACATAAAAAGATACTTTATGAATCAACTTCCAAAAGCAAAATCAACCTGTAATGTAGGTTTTTCTTTTTCTTTTTTTAACAACGGATTTTACAGTAATACTGTAAAGGACTTAAAGTTTGAAGGATCTACATGTAATGTATACTTCACAGTCCCTTACATCTATATCCTCACATTTTCCACGTGATTTATCTTTGTTTATCCCCCCTGTATTTCAGTCAGTGCTCTGCCGCCACGTATTAATGACCTGTTGAGAGAGACGAGAAGGTAAGATATGGGGGGGGGGGGGGGGGCGGGTAACTGTTGTGTACTGGCTGTAGTGTTTCTTTCAGATATTTTTCTCCGTAGGGGGGGGTGCACTTGAAACTTTTGGGAGGTGGAGAGGGGGGGGGGGGCGGACTTTAATTCAGTGCGGACACTCAAGTATACATTTTGTGTATAAATTGTATATATTTTATTTTGTTAAAGGGGGAGGGGGGGGGGTGCCCCTCCAAAGAAATACTTGAAAGAAACTCTGATTGTCTGTATCATACAGTTGATCCAAGCATTCAGCTGATTTCCTGTTGGTCTTCGTTGGTAATTTATAAATAAATATATATATATATATAAATATATATATATATATATATATATATATATATATATATATATATATATATATATATATATATATATATATATATATATATATATATATATATGCCCCGCGTATTCAAATAAGCAAGTAATTTGGTTTTGTTTTGTTAATTTTTGTTTTTGTTTTTAAAATCTGTTTCTATTACCACGGGTGTACCTTGCCTGTTAAAATCTGTTTCAGCCGTTACGATAAAATCGACGCCCCAGGATGTGGCCAGCGACCTTTGATCGTAGGGAATGGAGCCTCGGAGCTTACGACGAGGATTGTGGGAGGTCGTGAGTCCGTGCCCTACTCGTGGCCGTCCATTGTAAGCTCTGCTGTGTTTCTTTATACAGACATTGTCATTCAAACTCCGATAAAAAATTGTATTTACGTAGGCGTGACTATTCATTTATTTATTTATACAGGAATTACCATTCAAACTCTGATAAAATTTTTATCTACTTGGGCGTGACTATATTTTTATTTATTTATACAGGCATTACCATTCAAACTCTGATAATTTTTAAAAATCTATGTAGGCTTGGCTATCCATTAAAATCTCGGTTATTTTTATTTATGTGGGCGTGGCCTTTCGTTGCCACCCATTCCTCAATCCCACTCCTAAAAATATAAAGCTAATAAGTCTAAAGTTCTCTTTTTGAACCTGATAATCCATGGGGCACGTGAAGTAGAGTTTACATGTTTCTGTGACCTCGGCATATGAAGGGATAGTGTCGTCAGCAATATCCCCAGCCGCCTTTACTTTCCCTAAAGTGAGTTAGGTGCACATCGGAGCTGGATGTTCAATTGATTTGAACCCGAATTCGAACTCGAGACTTTTTGGGTTAGCAATCTAGCGCACTACCTCTAAATAGGCCTACTACTGCTATACTATGTTCTGAAATACTACAAACAAAATTAAAAAAACTCGTCATAACCTCATTGTCAGAGACAGTTGAGGCTATGAAAATCACGATATTGAACGTTGCTTTAGTGTATTTCAACTATGTCAATGTTAGGAATTTAGCTTATATTTTACAGTGCGTATAAATAACTCAACTCCTGAACTTTTGTCTTACAGTGCAGTCTGCGTCTCTCAGCCTCCCCCAACGACCACATCTGCGGGTCCACGCTGGTCAAGAGTCTGGACGAAGAATATTACCTGATCACTGCGGCCTCCTGTATCACGTAAGTCGTCACATGCAGGGGGGTAAAGAAAATTTCAGGTGATCCATAAGCAGGGGCGTTTGCAGAGGAGGAGTTGTGGGGCTAGAACTCCCCTATAGACTTCTAAAACATTGTGCTGTCTTAAGTTACAGATATTGGCCACGGCAAGCTCGTGTCACCCTCAGTTTAAGATCTTCTTACACTCTGCAAAACGTTATGGAATGTATAGGTATTTGTAAAATAAAGCTCCCTTTTCGAACCTGACGGTCTATGGGGCAAGTGAAGTGGAGTCCACCTGTTTCTGTGACCTAGGCATATGAAGGGATATTATAGTTATTTGTATATAAATAAATTCATAAATTATATATATATATATATAATTATATGGGCACATTTTTTTGACTCCCTCCTCCCCCCCCCCCCCTTTTATTCTCCATGTTAAAATCCTATCTACGGCCAGGTTTTTTTCAGACGTTTTTTTTGCGGGTAGAGGTCGCTTAAAGCTTTAGGAGTGTGGGGGGCACACTTGATATGATTTGGTGTGTGGGGAGGGGGGTCTAGATGCCTAAAAGAATCTCTGTCCACGCCACTGTCCAAAGCCGTGTGTGCTTGAGCTGCTGTTTGTGTTTCCAGCGACCAGCGAGCCAGTCGCTACACAGCCCACTGCGGCATCCACGATAGGGCCGCGTCTACCGAGCCACACAGGGTCATCATCACCTTCTTCACCTTAGCTGTTCACAGGTGAGTACACATTTGGGGGGGGGGGGGGGAGGGTGGGGGAGGGTGGGGGGCTAGAGGCATGACGAAATAAGCTTGCTTTCATTGACTACATGTTTGCGTCAGTTACACTCACGTGCATGTTTACGATTTCTGTATTTTGCCACCTTCCAGCCAGTACAACGAATGGACGCTGGATTACGACATCGCCATCTTTAAAGTGGCCACGCCCCTGCCCACCAACAACTACATCTCTGCCGTGTGTATCCCCAATGAGGGCTGGAACGATATGGAGCCGGCTATTGTCGCTGGATGGGGATCTCTAAACGAGGGTAGGTTCAAGGTACTTAAACTAATAGGCAAACCGTCAATAATGTGAGCAACTGGAATGATGGGGAACATGCCATTGTGGCTGACTTGGGTAAGTTCAAGTAACTTAAGTCAGTGTACCAACAGTCCTATTTAGTGGTTTTGATATCCCTAATGATTGCTGGAAGGATGAGGAAAAAATCCTTTTTGGCTGGTTGGGGGATCTCTAAATGTGGGTAAGTTCAAGTTACATTAACCAGGGTAAGTTCAAGTTACTTTAATCGATATACAAACAGTCCTAATCGATTATTTTTATATCGCTGTTGTGGTCTGGAACGATAGAAAAAAAAACGATAGAGTGTGTATAGTAACTACTCAAACTAAGGAAAAAGATTTGGATCTAGACCTAGTAATGTGAAGTCACACGCAAGTAATCATCGGCGGGCAAGACTTTGCTGCTGGTTCTCATGACAACAATGCTTTGTCGATAGTTTTGTTTGAGGGATTAGAATGACTTGAAGGGTTAGGTTGGACACAGGAGCTAAGGCCAGTGTTTTTTTCAGGCATTTCTTTGGGGTGGGGGATGGTAGTGCCCCTCGAAGAACGTATACAGCCCAACTCCCCCGTAAAGATATATAATTTTTATAGAAAATATTTACTTTTACGTGTCCCCTCCCAACACCGGAAAATTAATGTAGTCCCCCCCCCCCTAGATAAAAAAAAGTCTGAAAGAAACACTGGTTAGGGCAAAGGCCGCAACGATCAAAATCGTAGTTAGGATCAAGAGACGGGTTAGGGCCAGGATCAAGGTTACCCGCAGAGTCAACATGTTCTATGTCAGTTGTTGGTCCTGTGTGTTGTGGTCAGGGCTAGGGTTAGGGTCCGTTAGGGTCCGACCTTAAAATAAAGATAACATTCGTACAATACGACCAGTCAGTTTGATTACGTCATTACCCTAAATCGCTTTTAATCTTTTAATCCGTGCAGGTGGGATCTCCCCGTACAAGCTCCACCAGGTCAACAAACCCATCAAGCCCCGCTCTGTCTGTGAGGAGAGGTACGGCGCCGCCTCCATCACCATGAGGATGTTGTGTGCGGGTCTCCCAACTGGTGGGGTGGATGCGTGTGAGGGTAGGCAGCCATATTTTGGTTTTCTAGCACCCCCCCCCCCCCATCTATCTCTCCTCACTCTTTTTATCTTTGAAAGAAAACAGAAAGAATTATTTAAAAAACTGTCAATGTTTCACCACACACCCACACCCTCACTACCGTCACACGTCCAGTTCTATTCAAGCATTTCTCCGAGGTGGGGGATCAGTGACACCCACCCCCACCCTCGGACCCAGAGCACTCCACCACCCTCAACCCCCTACCCTAACAAAATATAATCAATATTAATTCATTTTTTTTTTTTTTTTTTTTTTGAAAATCTTTAGTAAAAGGCGAAAGTTTATTTGTTTTCATATCGACAGGAGCTTGAGTTCTTCATAGTAGTTTTTAAAAAAAAAGACCTACTAGTTTTTTCTAAAAATATACACGGTAACTAGCTAATAAATGATTGCTAATAGATTCTTTACCTGAGGTGTGTGACTTACATTTTACAGAGACACAAATAAAACTTTCTCTTTAGGAAAAGTATCAGATATTTATACTAAAGAGAAACGGTAGAGCGGTAGACTTTCTTCGGGGGGGAGGGGGGGGGGGGCGGACACTGTTAAAAGTAAATATTTTCTATATAAACTATATACATTTCATTTCGTTCGGGGGGGGGGGGGGGGGTTAGAATTTTTCCGAAGAGATGCCTGGAAGAAAATCTGTTTAAAATCTTATATTTAAAAAAAAAATCGTTTAAATTTCTAAAAGAATAGATTGTGTATTGTAATATGAGTGATTGTGTATTGTAACATGAGTGATTGTTCTTGTCTCAGGGTGATAGTGGCGGCCCACTCTACACATACAGAGAGGACAGGTGGACACTCACAGGTAAGACACCCTGTCAGATACACCTATGTACAGAACAGGGATTTATGTTATTTTATACATGCTACACATAGGTGATCGAAGGAGTTTTACAGGGAAGTAACTTTGCTAGTCACTGCTGATATAATTGGGTTGGATATTATTTAATTATTTCCCACACTATTTGCTAAATGAAAGTTTTGTTTTATAGTGTACAATATTTTTTAGCTGTAGGTTATACTCGAACTATTTCTATTACCTCTCCCGCCCCTTCTAAATCAAGTGCAGAGCCTCGTAATGTAAAAAATCCTCTGCCTTACCGTAGAGCTTGAATATATGTTTAAAAATATTCCACATAGTTGTTGATTATCCCAAATAAATACCATAATTTAACTACCCTACCTATTGCTTTTAGACTTTAACTAACCCATCTGTAGTTTTTATTTTTAGACTTTTAGCTTCGCTGTAGCTTTTAAATAGTTTAATTACCTCCCCTGTAGTATATTAACTAGCATTACCTCCCCTCCAGTGTTTTGATTGTGCTGACCAATGTGTTTACATCCCAGGTATTGTGAGCTGGGGTATGGGCTGTGGAGTGGCCGGCAAACCCGGAGTCTATGCTGACGTCATCGAGCTCAAGAACTGGATCCACAGCGTCATCAACTTTTAACCTCTGCGGCTATCTGGCTAATGGGCTAAAAGACTAACAGGCCACCCTTGCTTCGTGTGAGACACAGAGAAGAAGAGAATTAATTGAGATTCATGTGGAAAGTACAATTGCACTTCGTAATAAAAATTGACATGTTCTAAACAATTGTATTGGTGTTCTTAATGTGTTCAGCGACATAAATACATCCACAGCGTGATGACACACAATATTTTTTTAATTGGGTTTTTTCCGGGGGGGGGGGGGGCACTAGTAAAAGTATTTATTTACAATATAAATTCCATCTCAATCGGGCGGGTGGTAGACTTTCTCCGGGGGACGGGGACGGGGGGGGGGGGCTCTGCTCTATCCCGAGGAGAGGCCTGGATGAAACTCTGTTATATTGTTGGTTTGACTTGGTTGGACTAGTCCTCTTCATCTCTGTAGACATATGTTGCTTCGTTGTTTGAGTCTTGTGTACAATAAACTTCGTTGTTTGAGTCTTGTCTACAATAAACTTCGCTGTGTGCTGCTTCGTTCGCTGGGAGCCAGCATTTGAGGTGCGTTTTTAGTTGTTTCTTTGTGGTAAAGTCGGTGTCTGTAGCCTCATAATACGAGCACTTATATCTAAATGTCATGTGGGTGTTTAATTGCAAAATGTTTGAGCATGTTTGTATCTATTGTAAGTTTGCATATGCGACAGATTAAGGCGTCGAAGTGTTCCTTAACCATAAAGTTTGCCCGTGGTACGAAGAACAAACAAAAGCAGAGTAGACAATTGTTGAGTCGGTCTTCAGTCGGTGTTTTGGACGGGGTGGTGGCTGCTGACTCGCTGTCTTACTCGCTGTCTCCTACATTAACTTAAGCTGCTTTTGATATTTGCTCCGGTTCTTTCTTCCTTTTGGTTGTTGATGTCAGCAAGATTGTTTGTTGTTGTGAGATTTGAGGGTCGGATGTTTCTTTCTATGGTGTCGATATCTGTGTGATGACTGCATACATGCTTGTTACTGGCTGTTGTGCTGCGTCGCCATGTTGTGGCTGATTAATTTGTTTTGTTTTGTTTTGTTAGGTGAGAGTTCCCAGTCTGTCTTAGCTTTGCTTAAATTTTCATTTTACCGCGATGTTAGCAGGGGCGGAACTACAGTGCCGCCAGACCCCGCATTGCGGGGGGGCCCACGCCATTTAGGGGCCCATGGCCGACCATAATACATTTTTTATAGTTAAAAAAATTAATTTTCTTGCATTCTTGACTTGAGAATAAAAGCTTTTATAAATAACAAACAGATCTACTACATTAATGATGTTATACAGTAGCTAACACATGCTGTTGTGTAAAAAAAATAACGAGATAATAATCGCAATTGTTAGTATGTAAATTGCGCTAAAAATATATGCCTGATCTGTAGTGTGAAAAATAGGCAAACGTTCAAAACACTTCCAAGACTTATTTCCCTTTTTTTAAATAGTTAAATAGGGGTGCTCATAAGCTCCTTTTGATATATTTGTACTAAACAAATTAAAAAGCAATTACTTCTCTTAATTATTACTTGTAAAAAAAAACATACTAAAGAATGACATAGCATAAAAAGGAAACATATTTAAAACAAATAATATAAACTTTAAAAAAAATGAAAATAAACATAACACGAGAAACCATTACACATACAAAGCTTTCACGCTTTATATTCTTTTGACTGGCTAAACTGTAGACGTAGAGGGTAGGCAAACATATTAAATAAGCTAAAAAAAACTAAAAATAATAATTCAAAACAGACTAATGTACTCACACACATGACGTAAAATTTGTTTAAATTGAAAAAAAAAACATTTTTTTTCTCAAAACCCGATCAGGCCAGAAATGAGTATCCAATGTTTGTATTCTGTGTTTGTATATATATATATATATATATATATATATATATATATATATATATATATATATATATATATATATATATATATATATATATGGGGGCCCAGAAATTGTATTTGCGGGGTGGCCCTCCTTTTCTAGTTCCGCCACTGGATGTTAGTGCATTTTTTAAAATAAAATCTGAATTTATTCATATTTCCCCCACATAGTCGATCTATAAATAGCCGTTTGCTACTAGTCTGTTTTCGTCTTCTGTTCTTTGTCTAGTCGTGTTAATTACAATAATTAAGTTAAGTGTGATTACTTTATTTCTTGTGGCTGTTTGATTGGTGGTTTTTAATATTTTCTCAAGTGTTTGCTTTGCTTGCTGTACTAATGTACAAGCAAATGAATGTGTTTCTCGGTTTCTTGTATATTTTGTTTGACGTTTGACAAGTTATTTTAACATTTTGATTTGACTTTGTATTTCGTAACACTGGTGTTGTATTAAAAATCAGTCTGTACGCTAATTCCCTTTCTTTTGGTGTAAAGAGTTTATTATGTAGGTTTCTAATATATATATATATATATATATATATATATATATATATATATATATATATATATATATATGTTACCGAGTCTATTTGCTTGTAGTGCCAAATGTTACCGATTTCACTGCTGACAGAGCCAAATGTTACCGAGTGTATTTACTCGTGCTACCTTTGACCAGCACACAACATCGACCAAAATATAGATACTCGGAAATGCAGGTTTACATTGATCTCTTTATTACATGAATCAATAGAAATGCTCCACATAACAATGCACCAATGTTCCACAAAAATACAATGAACCAACTGACCCCCACTGTCCTCACATAACAGAATGCACGTGTCCATAATTCCTATCCTCACATAACACAATACGTCTACCCCGTTCAGTAACCAACTTGACACTGCCCAAACACTCAACTGTCTCCTTCCTATTTTATCTCCTCGTATTCGTAATCGTATTCGTAATCGTATTCGTAATCGTATTCGTAATCGATTCTAATCGTTGCATCAGAATATTAATTGCGCAGCTCTGTCGTACCATCCGATTATTAGACCACCTGCACTGTTGCGTCAGCCCAGTTTGGCCAAGGTCATGTCAAAGTTGACAGACTGTAATACGTTCTTATCGTCCCTGGTAACTCCACTAGTTACATCCACCCCCGCCTTTTTTTGTGTGTTTTCAACCACAAACAACGCTTGGCAGGTGCACTCCTTCAATGTCAAACGCACTGCCGTAAAAAAAAATTTTATTGTTCCACTCACTGTCAATGTCGTCACATTCGTAAAAGATTGACAGTTATCCCTATTTCACATATCAAATGTGTCTACATCATATTCCTCAGACACAAAGCAGTTCTAGAATTCACATTCACCTTTTTTCGTTTGGTGTCTTCACCAGTTCATTTTGATAGCTTTTGAACAGTCTGTTCTCATCCCAGCGCGACCATGAAAGAATTGATGGTTGCTGACGAAAAATTTCGTATTCTTTCTGTTTCTCACACTTCTCCGCGGACCACTTATCTGCTGTTCTACTGTCTCTCTGCTTCTGGGAGGAACGGGATCCTCTTTGTTGCCGTTATCCTCCACTTGTGTATCGCTGTTGTGCTGTTGATGGTGACATGGTTCCGGGATGGGTATGAGAATTTCCGTTGTAGTTTCCGGTTCCCTAATTGTCTTAGGTTTCTTTGTGTGTAAATGCTCTTCTTGACTATGCCAATATTTCTTTAATTGAGCAATATTCGCCCACCGATCCGGTTTGGTGTGATTGGTGGGTCTTATTTTAAAGGGGCCACCTGCTACTTTAGGCGTCTCCACGACTTGCCATATCTCCTGTCCCCAGAGGTCGTGGATTTTGTTTCTGCCTAATGGGTGGCTACGCAGTAATACTTTGTCGTTTAGTTGGAGTGGCGGGTCTTTTGTCTGTACCCGCGGTTCTCTTCGCCGTGCTTCATGTTCTAGTCTTCCTTGTACTACCTTGTACATTTCTCTTATTCGTCTCATATGTTCATTCACATATTCCAGTGCGGTGTATGAGCCAGTCATACTTTCCTTTTTTCCTAGGAACAAGTCAAGAGGGAGTCGAGCCTCCCGTCCGAACAGTAACATGTGTGGCGAAAAGCCGGTTGTGGCATGGGGGGTGCAGTTGTATAGATATACCAACTCTGGGAGAAAATCAGGCCAACGTTTTTTCTGTTCAGGTTCTAGAGTACGCAGCAAATCATGCATGCTGCGGTTGAACCGCTCGCACTATCCGTTTCCTTTAGGATTATATGTGGTTGTTCTAGATTGGTTGATCCCGTAGTGGCTGCACAGTTGGTTAATTACTTCTGACTCGAAGGCCCTTCCTTGTTCAGAGTGTAATTGTCTTGGTATGCCATATTTGATGAACCAATGTTCTATTAAGACCTTTGCCACTGTTTTAGCCGTCTGATCTCGTGTGGGCACCGCGACAGTCCATTTGGTGAATACGTCAGTCATCACCAACACATGTTCCGTCCCATCCGATGATTGCTCCAACGACGTAAAGTCCATAGCCACAATCTCTAGTGGTTTTGTCGCCAGTAGGTGTCCTGACGGCTGTCTCATTTTGACAACTGGCATTTTCGCATGCTGACACCTAACACAAGCCTCACAATGGCGTTTGACCTCCATCTCCATATTGGGCCAGTAGCACCGCCGTCATAATATTTTGTGCGTCCTGTCCTGACCCTGGTGTCCCGCCCTGTCATGTGCCAACTTTAGCACTTCTTCTCGTAATTGTCCAGGCACCACCACCTGGTGTATTGTCCCGTCTATTTGGTCATGAATTCTCCGCATGAGAACACCATCCTTTATACTGAGACGGTCCCACTGACTCAGTAGTTTCTTTGTTTCCCGACCAAACTGTTCTCTTTCCCTTCTTCTCGGGAATTTTTGTTCCTGGACGTATTTCAACAGCGGCTGTAACCCGCTATCCGTTCTCTGGGCATCTCTTATCTCTTTACGATTAAGGCAATTAAAATCACTGATGTCCATATTTCGGGGCTCTGTGGATGTGTGCTCCACCACAGTCTGCCCGTTTTGCATCACTTGCACCCCGTGAGGGATATCTGTTGACGCTCTGACCTCACATATTCCTGTCAGCGTTTCTTCCTCATCGCCCGGTCTCTCGTAAGGATTCCTTGATAAGGCGTCCGCATTGCCATTGGACCGCCCCGGGCGATATTTTATCTCCAGGTCAAAGAGTGCCAATTCTGCAGCCCATCGCTGTTCGATGGATCC